CACCTAGCTTGAATGATCAGCATATTAATATGCTGATTGTGCTCACAATCTAGCAAATTAGTCAGTGTATGTCTTCCCTGGACAGGGGTATTGATCTTGCATTATCTTAACCTATTTATATAACAAATTACAGAGCTGTGCATATACTACTTATGTTACTATCCCTTTCAGAAGTGGAAGGAATTTCAAGTTATGAGTATTGCTTAGAACATTAAGCAGCTTTTGAGTTCCAATTAACTACATGGATTACATGCTTGATAATTACATGCTTGATAATTACCAAGACCAACTTATCAGCATATTTTTTGGAGCAGAAACAAAAATAAAAATATCACAAGGCATTCCTTAGTGTGCATTTTGAAGATCTATGCACCTTATGTGAGAAGTAAATATAATGGTGAGTATGCATGTCAGAGTGCATCAAGAGCAGGACTGATACAAAAGGGAATACAAGTAAGAAGCCAGTGGGGCTCATGGCACAGTATCATCACTGACCAGGGCACTGTCCCACCATATCTGAATAGGTTGGGCAGAGCAGTGTGCTGATAACAAGGTCCATTGACAGTCCCAGAAAAAGTGAGGTGATGAACCAGGTCCAGGCTTCATCCCAGGAATCCAGTCAAGAGCAGCAGGAGATAGAGCTAGATACAGGGCTGGAGGTAAGACTACAACATGGGTCTGCTGGAGACAGAACTCGAGACAAACTACCTACAAGGTAGGTCAAGGTCCATGCAGAAAACAAGGCCAGAGGCAGGACCTGAGACAGGTATACTGACAACAAAGTTCAGGTAAAGACTAAATGTCCAGGCCTGATCTTAAATAGAGTGCCTGAATCAAGGAGCAGAGAGTGCATAGGTGGGGTTCCAAGGCTGGTCAGGGAAATCAAGGCCCAGTAGTACACTCAAGGCCCTCATAGTGCAGTCTGTAACTTGAGTAATACATCTAAAAATCTGAGACCAAGCCAGACCGTATAATCAGTGTGACAAAGAAGGATGAAGCTTTACGGTACCTTAACTTTAGCCATATTTTACTGATGAGCAAGGAAGGACCACATCAGCGCCTAAAAATTTTGCAGAAGATCTGAAATCCACCTTGGAGAAGAAAAGCTTACACTGCTTCACATTCTAGAACCTTTCAGGAAAGTGACTCTTTGGAATGAATCATAAAAGGTAAACAGCGAAGTGCTGCAGAAATCTGGACAGCTGATTTTTCTCAATATCAGCCAGTCATGAAGATGAGGGTATTCATGTAACTTCCAGTGAATGTGAGCTGGTGCTATAACTCAATGTTTAGTCAATATTCTAAACACATTTAACAAAGTGAAGAGGGCACATTTTGAACTGATAGTTTCCTTCTAAAATAATGAATAAAAGAAACTTCCTTTCTTCTGGATGTTTTAATGCACAGAATTATCTAATCTACAAGTGGGAGAAAATAAACAATTAAAAGGATCCAGACTGGTAACACTGAATTTTAAAATGTCATGTGAAATTTAAGTGATGTATGAACATATTAAAGCACCTGGTATTTAATTGTCTGTCATTTTCAGATGTTACAGGCTTACTGCATAAGGGAATGAAAGTTTCCTAAATTCCTAAGTTTCTACACTCTTTCTATGCATTGGTTTTACAGCATGGGGATGCTGAAATATATCAGTCTCTCACTGCCCTATATGTTCATGAACATAGTCTGCATGACTAGAAGATAAGGAGGCTTAGTCTATTGGAATTTTCTGATATATCTAGCCTGAACAATCTATAGGACTCACCAACTTGTGTTGTTCCAATACAGACTTTCACAAAAGATTAAAACAAAGTGGAGACAACAGGTACAGATTCCTAGGAATCATTGCTAGATTCCTGATTTCAGAAGGAGTTATGATGTCTCTAAAGTGCATTCGATAGAGAGACAGCAGAAGGAGATAGAATGGTAAAGTTTCATGTGTCTTATGGACAATTAAGTGTCTACAATGTTTCATCATAAAGAATACTTAAACTCCTTCAAGAAATGTACCCTAATGCATGTATTCATAAAACCTCATAGTTCATTATCCTAACCTGGAAGAAAAGTAGCCAGAGTTGGTTCTTTTTTCAAAAAGATCTATTCTCCTTGGTTCTTTATTCATAAGTCTGCTTTGTAGATTATCTGGAGCTTTTCTTAGCTATAGTTATAAATGAGAAGAATGCAGAAGTATAAAAATATTTTAAAACTTCAGATGAAACTCTACAAATCCATGTATTTCAAGGAAAATGAAGCAGGAGACTGAGTAAATCCAAAAGTCACTAGCAGTGTCCAAGATTCCCTCATTTACTGGCAAGATGACCTGGCTGTGTGAGGTTGGTTGACAACATCAGAAAGTTAAAATGTCTTTTTCTTGTACCACCTTTAGAGGAACTCATAAGACTCTCTGACACTCTCTGAAGCAAACTTGGAAGGCCTCCAGATCATCAATAGTGAAAGAGAGACAGATTCACAGCTTTATCCAGTAAGGATGATGAAAATGGAAGTTGCTAAATACTCTCACCAACTTCAAGAACAAGAGAAAAGATAAGTTAAAGGAGTTTTCACTGGGAAAAAAAAGCTGTAGTATGATAATACAGACTGAATGGAAAAATTCTTGTGGAACTCGGAGAAAAAAAATCAATATATTCAAAACCTATAAAGCTGCAGGCCAGGATAACATGTATGAAGATTTACTCTAAGCAAAGATCAAAAAGGATCTTGAGCATCTTGCTATGATTTCTAAGTCAATTATGAGAAAAAAGAATGCATGTCAGAATAAAAATAAGAGAGCCATCATCAAAGAAATTGAATAAAGAAACAGCTAAGAGTCCCAAGGAAATTGTGCAGTTATTCTGAAAATTACTTCCCATGCTTTAAGTTGCATCTTTCAAGTACACCATACTGGATGTTTTTTTCCTCTATTTAATCAGAACTTTGTACTTTACAGTATTATTAAATAAAGTAACAATGGATAGAACTCATTAAGGGCAACAAGCAGATTAAACACAAGCAAAACAGTTTTCACTGTGGATGTCTAGGGCAAATATTTAGAACAAAATCAACAAACAATAAAGTTGAGATCTTGCAGTTAGTGTTACTATCCACAACACTGCAAACAGTATAAATGAGAAGGTGGACTTACCTTTGCTATATTTCAAGAACACTGGACAAAGATTTCACTAAACAAACCCTATTCTGGCAAACCCAAAGCAGAAACAAAGAGAGGTCATTCCAGAAGGACCATTCAAAACACAGTAATGTCTGATGCACCAACTTTACAAATCAGCAACTTTAAGAGATTAAAGGTACTGGCCCACCATAAGATTGTTTAGGAACTAATCTCTCCTGTAAGCACCCAACAGTGAAAGTAATGGACTGGATTTGATTGGACAAGACCTATGAACAAAAAAAAATGCTAAAGTTTTCAGTCTGTGTAACAATATAGTAGACCTAACACTTCAGTGGAGACTTGTTCCAAGTTCAGACAGAGCTTTCCAAACTAAGCCATTTCAAATGTATTTATGTGAAAGACACCTGGTGAACACATTAGGAAAAACTGAACAGTTTTCTTCCTTATGAGAACTTAAGAATAGATTTTAAAATATAGAATACTCAATCTTTGGTCTGAGGAATGAGAGAAAATTTCATTTTAAAAAATCGCAGTTTTTTTCCCTGAAAGTTACTAGCAAGTGAAAAATAATTATTTACTTGCTCTGTTTCTTCTCCACAACAGTTACTACCATTGATCACTGTGTAATGTGTAGCAAACACACACATATACATAATACATAATATGCACCCTTAAATAATGTGTCATTACAAACTTAAATTACTTTTTTGAGGTTTGGTTAGTAGAACTCAGTGGACACTAGAATACACCTACTTTGCCAGATTAAATATAGAGCAAGAACATACATAAATTATTCCCCTCTTCCCAGGACATATTCATTTAATAGATTGCCCAGATTTTATACTTTAACTATTTTACCATTCACCTGTTCTACTTATATTAGTATTTAGAAACAAAGAGACAGATAAGTGATCTGTGAAAAGTTTCCTACTTTTTCATTACTCTTCAGCAACACAGTTTGAACAGCTTATTAGAAAAACATAAGAAGGTAACAGATTCCAACCCCAGCAGTCTCTAGTTTCACTACTTTCTGACATTCAGTGCAGGTAATACAGCAATGCTTTTGTCAAGAACATATATGCCCCCTATAGATTTAATGTTCTTACCACATAAAGATAAAAATAAATTAAAAGCTTATTAACCATTTTCTAAATAGAAAATTCAGTAGTAGAAAAATTATATTACATCTTTCAATAAATATATGTTTACATACACACAAAACAAATATGAAATTATTCTTTAAAACTTAAACACCTGCCAGTCTCTCTTCTTTTAAACATAATTATTTTAACCTGCACAATAGACATTGCCCCACATATTCGATCAATGTTCCCTCCCCAATACTCTGTCCTTTTGTCCCACAGATTTCCCAGGTACAACACTGAATGGCTTTTAGAAAAAATTCAGTATTTTATTCTCAGTTTATGATAATGTATTATGCAAATTTATAGCACTATATATGTGATTTGTAATAATGTTGTTACAATTACACTTGTATTTTAAAATCTGTATCATATATTTTACTTCCTTTAGAAGTAATGATATGTTGTTTTGGAAATACCATCAGCATTCAGTTCAATATATTATTTTATAGATACAATTAGATCTACAAAAGTAGGTAAACATGGGTGATAAATCTTGATCATTTAATAGCTTCCATATAAGTAACTACAACTGAGGAATCATAATTTTGTTTGGTCTCTTAAAATTAGTAAATTCCAATTAGCTATAAATTTTCTTTTTTAAAGGCCTGACTGTAGATCTAATTCCTCGTTCAAATTTCTAGTGGTATATCACAGCAAGTAAGACAATTCTGAATAAAGATAAAGCATGGCTTTTTATTCCAAGGTACCTAATTCAGCCTTACCTCAGGGTTCTTAAATCCCACAGTTTGATGCCATCACCTGCAGCTGTGGTCACGAAAAGATTGTAAGCTTCAGGTTGCTGAGTGCTGAAGGATGACCCCTGTAAAATATGAAATCAGTTTCAGATAAGTATTCTCATGGTGCTAAATATTTAAAGAATCATAGAATATCTCAAGTTAGAAGGGACCCATAGGGATCATTGAGCCCAACTCCCTGCTACCCACAGGACTACCTAAAACTAAACCATATGACTAAAAGCATTGTCAAGACACTCCTTGAACTCTTACAGGCTTTATGACATGACCACTTCCATGGGGAGTCTGTTCCAGTGACCAACCACCATTGCAGTGAAGAATTTAGTCCATTTAAAAAATAAACAATAAATGTTTGTTAGGTTGTATGAAAAAAACCTTGTTTGCACATGCACGGAGGAGCACAAAGGAAAGCTGGCATGTGGAGGAACCCCTGTATATATATGTGTATATAAATATGTATATACCCCTATATATATAACCCAGTCAGAGAAATGGAGCACTGCCTCTCCTCCTCTCAGTGTTGTCCCAGGACAGCCATGAATGAGCCTTTTGGTCCAGGGGTGACACCCAACATGATGCGTCAACAGGAGAGGCTCTCTAGGTCATCTCATAGACTGATGGGCATTACTACCTATCAGGGTAAGGGATCCATTATAGGATGTAGGGGAAGATCATTTTGTGATTGCACAAGACTTTATGGGATGTTTAGGGGAGGAAGTAAGGGCAGGGAAAGGGAGGGATCAAAGTGTAGTCCAACATTTAATTATAGGCTATGTTTAGCCCTGGCATAAGTGAGCACACTTTGCCTTGACTTCAATAGCAATGACATTAATTCACAGCAAGACTGATTTTGTCTTCATACCTTTAAATAATTAAATCCAGTCTATCTTTAAACCTCTGATTTCTTAACATCCACACTGGCATATCCTGGCCTTTTTGCTGGCTACAAAATTCTTTCTCCAGGGAGCTAAATATAAACAGCTAAAACTCCTTCTTTCCTTTAGCCACCATTCACATTCTTGATTTGGCTTAATACACCACAGAAACCTCAAGGCCATTTCCCGCAATCAGTGCTTGGCTGCCAGGAATCTTCTATTCATTATGAAAACTGGCATATAGCTGGAAAATGCTCTAGTATTTAGTAGAGGGAATTCTCCAAATGGCAAGACAAACTGGGGCATTCAGTGTTAAAAAGACTATAGAAGCTTTCACTTACTTTGCTTTAAGCAGATTTCCTTCCTAAACTAGGGATTACCACAGCCTGCTCTAACAGATGAACTAAAATGAATTGTTCAACAGATTTCCCAACAAAGTCTACACATTCTCACATTAGCTGTGTATAACTATCAAAAAAGGATAATTGTAAAAGAGGACAGTTGTTGTCCAAAGGACAGTATTCATTAAAAGTTACAGAGCACCCTTTCGTTTTGTTTTTGAAACTTTTACTCACCACCTCTTTCTTCAGTGAGCAATGATCAGAGTCCAATACAAAAAATTCTAGACACATACAGATTTACGTCATGCACTACTCCTTTACTTTAGAATACACTGACAGTAATACACACAAGAAGTGTAATCCTTTTATTCCTTCCCTGACCTTACATTTTGTTGATAACATACATTACTAATATAAAGCTATACTTGTAACTTCAAACTACATTTACTAGTGAATATTGCTGTAGAAGACAAGGTAATATATACTATATGCAAGCTGAATTTTATTTATCCCTTTGTGGTTTCATAGTTTATTAATCTATAGTAATCTATAATTCATGAGAGTCCAATGCAAAAAGTAGCATATTCTAACACATTCTTCAAACCATATTCTTTCATTCTGAGAGACAAATCACTTGACTATGTTCCATCATCTTCCTCGTCTACCACTGTAATCCCTTCTCAGCTTCTCTCTAGACTAACTACATTGCAACTTCTACAGAAAATTTGACTCCAGGAAGGACATGGTTCAATAGAATCCCTATCTCATTCACTATTTCCATCTGAACACCACTGATATCATTCAAACAGTGCAGCTGGCTTATGATACAGTCACCAGTTAATAGATGTCTCAGAAAACACTCCACATTTTCCAAGCAAGCACATGCCTTCAGACAGGTTTGACACTATGGCTAGGAAAAAAATTAACTGACTGAAACTTCTGAGTTGCCTATTACATTTTTCAGCCTTCATATCATGTACTTTTCCTAATTAATGTACCAGTGAATTTTGAAACAAATGGCCGTGGGCAGAAAACTACAAACTTTGTTGTTTCTCTGAAAATTAATGTAATCTATAACTGTGCTTGCTAACAGAACATAATACCATCCAAATATTTGTGACTGATACTGGTAGATTCCTTTTCAAAGAATATGTTTTGCAGCACTACAAATGTATTGTTAACACTAAAGCTCTGAACCTTTGTAGTCTGATGTCTAATTGCCATCTATTTCCATATCTCAGAGGTTCCTCAACTGTAAGACAGGAACACAATTCTGATATTTCAAACAATTAATTTTACTACATTTCTTAAAAGTTAGTATGTAAAGCAACAGAACCATGAAAAGTCACATGATACTTTGGTAATCATTGTGTCACATAATACTTTGGTCAATTTTCATTAGGTGATCTTATGTATCAAACTGAAATTGTCAAGGTAGAAATCACTGGTTGAATAAAACAATTTACAGAAGTATAAAGCCATTATTAACAGTTTAGGATATTTACCTTGTCAGGCTTGTTATAAGACGGATAAGGACTACTTATTAGACTGAGGTGAAGTTGCTACAGCCAGAAAAGTGATATCTGCTCATTCCTTAGAAGGATCTTAATGACCTCACTTGGGTCTAGTAACACCCTGAGCTAAAATATCAGAAGTAATTCTGAAAGTAAGGTCTGGACACCAGATACAGGTTCAGGAAAAAGAGTAGAGGATCCCTTAACACCAGCCTATCACTAAAAAGTGGGAGGCTAACATCTCTGTTGGAGACATGAACAGTGGGATTGAGTGCATCCTCAGCAAGTTCAGCAACACCACCAAGCTGTGTGGTGCAGTCGACACGCTGAAGGGAAGGGATGCCATCCAGAAGGACCTTGACAGTCTTGAGAGTTAGGACCTTGCAAACCTCGTGAAGTTCAACAAGGCCAAGTGAAAAGTCCTGCACATGAGTTGAAGCAGTCCCATGTACAAATACAGGCTCAGTGAAGAGTGGATTGAGAGCAGCCCTGTGGAGAAGGACTTGCAGGTACTGGTGGATGGAAAACTGAGTATGAGTCAGTAATGTGCACTCACGGCCCAGAAAGCCAACCGTGTCCTGGGCAGCATCAAGAGGAGTGTGGCCAGCAGGTCGAGGGAGGTGATTCTCCCCCTCTACTTTGCTCTCATGAGACCCCACCTGCAATACTGTGTCCAGCTCTAGGGCCCCCAATATAAGAAGGATATGGACCTGCTCGAGCAGATCCAGAGGAGGCCATGAAGGCGATTGGGGAACTGGAGCACCTCCCTTATGAGGACAAGCTGAGAGAGTTGGGGTTGTTCAGCCTGGAGAAGACTCTGGAGAGACCTTATGGTGGCCTCCCAGTACTTAAAGGGGGCTACAGGAAAGATAGATAGGGACTCTATCAGTCAGTGCAGTGATAGGACAAGGGGTAATGGTCTTAAACTGAATGAGGGTAGATTCAGTTTAGATATGAGGAAGAAATTCTTTACTGTGAGGGTGGTGAGGCACCGGAACAGGTTGCCCAGGAAAGCCGTGGCTTCCCTGGAAGTGTCCAAGGCCAGGCTGGATGGGGCTTTGAGCAACCTGGTCTGGTGGAAGGTGTCCCTACCCGTGGCAGGGGGTTGGAGCGAGATGATCTTTAAGTTCTCTCCAATCCAAACCATTCTATGATTCTATGATTTCCACCTGTTTCCTCAGGCTGAGAACAATGAACCTCTTTCCCCTAGCTCCTAAGCAAATGCACTGAAAAGTAATCTATTGCATGAATCTGCAGCAGTATCACCACCACATCTCCACAGGACCATGTATTTAACCATTTCCTGATGAAATGATGCTTATGCAACTGTACTGCCTGCTGATTCCCATCCAGAATTTTTTTAACCTGCTTCACTATTTAAATCCAATCTGACAGAGAGATAAAGGTCTTATGATAATTATGTTTCCACAAAATACATGTAAATGAGTAACTAGCAGACAGAAATTCAAACCAGCACAGCCATTAAGGAAAATGAGTTTGTTTAACAAGTCATTAACCAGCCAACAAAAGAGTAATTTAGAACAGGCATGCAGTATAGCCTGCCTCTCAGGCAACCAGTAATAAGGACACAACAAGAAAATAAGGTTTCGATAGGGGCAGAGTGTTTAGGGAACATAGGAAACAAAACTGAAAGTGCATGTGATGGGGAGGTGAAGGTTATAAAGGTAGTCAAATAGAAGTTTTCATGGTGGATTTTGGTGATCTTTAAGAAAACAGGCTTAAAATCCTTTAGAAATTATGCTTAATTAGTTTTGTTATTGCTGGAAGAACCTGTATATAAAGAACAACAAGCTTTGTATTGTCATTATCTGATATGCCCCGATTACTTCCAGGGGAATTTGGTGCCAAAATGTTTTTTAAGAAAACAAAAATACACTGAAGTTTGGAATAATAAACATTAATATGCTTCACTAAATCAAGATTATAGAGGTTCTAAACAATTAGGTCTATAAGACCTAGTGTTCTGCAAGCAATTTAATTGTGTAAGCTTTATTCATATATGGAGCTTCAAGAGCTAGGCATGTATTTTTGTGGCTTCCTTTCATGGACTATGGTAAGATAAGTTGCACTACTTTGGATCCAGGACTAAGGGTTCTTTATATATAAAATCCTAAATAACTGTACTAATCTAAAGTAGATGACAAACAGGAAGTAATATGCCACAAATAAAACAAATATATAAACAAAAATCTGGTAGTAAGCACTCTACCCAGAACAATTTCTTTCTTATGTGAGGTTTTTTCTGTTACAATTTTGCCCAGCTTCCTCTTTTCCTTCTGCTGTTTTTCTTCATCCAATACTCTAAATTTGTCACAGCCCCGTAAGTTCAGCTCTAAAATGGCCTTTTAGTAAGTATTAGCATATCTATCTCCATTCTGAGATGCTTTCTACATTCTTGCTCTGATTTCTCTTCCCTGATATTGATGAAATAACAAAAATTCACAACACAAAATACTGTTCTGTAGAATATAAGAAAAAACCTGAAGAAAACACAATCAAGTCACTGAAATACTATAGATGGAGAGGTATAGTGCAAAAATATTTGTATATCTGTTGGCATACATATATATACAGTGTGTATATATAGACATATATTACTTTCAACCACTGTTGCAATTTATGATTTCCAGATCAAACCGGGTAGTATTAAGACATTTGGCTACAGTTAACACAGATAAAGAAGGAAAGATTAAGTACAGTAATATGTACTTCTCATCATGATGCAATGCTAGTGTGCAGATATATTTTCACTGTATTCATTATTCTTCATCTCACTATGAATATGTAACAACATAGGGCAGCTTCTTACCTTGTGTAAATATGGAAACTACTGTCTTGTCTTTAAAGATTTGCCCGCCAAGATTTTTTTCTTACATTTCTCTCTGTTGAGTCACAGTAATGATTATTTTTTTCCCCAGCTTTCATGCAGTTTTTGTAATTTTTCTTCAGCATTATACAATTGAATTTTTCATTTCTGGAGTAATCATTTGCATTAAAAACTAAGTTTAAAATGGGAAGACTTTCTAACTGTGCTATTACATTTAATTTAAGGATGTTTAGAATTATTCTTTGTACTAAAGCAGAAGTCCCAACCTTCTGGAATTGAGCTTTACTGATGCTGCTATCTGCACTTCCTTGCATCTTTCTCTTCCCTCATGGCCGTTACCTCTCCAAGCCTAGTTTCTTCGAATCCTTGCATCTGCCTCCTCTGGACCCTTGCAAGACACTGAGGTTCAAAGAGGTGAGAAGGGAAGATATAATCAAGGCAAAGGAGCTGCGAACAAGAGTAATCTACATGGTTGTGGATGACTGGAACAGTATGGAGCAGGGGAGGAGGATTCTACTAGAGTGAGGGAATTATATATGAGAGGGAAAAGGAAAAGAGGTTGTAGGAGTTGGAGAAGTGAAGACTCAGCCGCAGAAGCAGAGCACCTGTAATGAAATAGAGAGATACAGCATAGCTTCAACTGGTGAAATAATAGGTTTGGAGATGTAAACTGGCCAAGTGGCACAGGGTCAGAGGTGCAGGCTTCAGCTGTAGGTTGGTTATTCTGGAACTCCAGCAAACTGTCCAGAAGTTTGAGGTGGTGCAGCCATCACTGTTGCCAGTGGGAAAGGGAGAAGAGTGACAAGATAGAACACAAGATGGAAGCCCCATCTGGTTGCTGCCACCGTTCTTGTCTCCAGGGAAGAGGGAGAAGTCAGTAAGAATGGACAGAACCACCACCAGATTCACACCTCATCTGAAAAGGACCACTGCAGCAATTTGCTAGCCTACAATAGCAAGCACTCCATGTATGTATTCTATATATGTACACTGTATGACTACTTACTCTACATTAATCTTCAATATTTCACAAAGTGTTAACAAGAACAGAGATTACCTTGCATAATTCAAGCTTCAGATAAGGGACAAGTTTCATCAACTGTACTTACATCTGTACAGAGGCTGAAGATTTAATATTTCAAGCAAGGATACAGTCTGATTTTACACCGTAATTACACCCAGGAAGATTCAAAACATTCCTGCTAAAGAAAGATAAACTGTGGCAAGTAATGATTTCAGTAGCGTGGTTTATCATCTTCAGCATATCATTATTGGATCAAGACAAGAAACAAGGTATGTGCTATACTCTACTAAATGTAAAGTGATGCTTCTGACCATCTACAGTCATTAGAAAATTTGGAGGCGATGTGGGTAAACTCAATGATTTTAGCCAGTATATTTTGGGAAGATTTCAAGAGGAGCATCTATAAAGAATTCTACTCTGGCTTCATTGCAATTACTGCAGATTTTCATAAGCAAAACAAGGTTTTCTTGATTCTTGAGAGATGGAAGACTTTGACATTAATTTTATATAACAGGCCACAGAGAGATTTTCAAAATTAGACAAGAGATCAAGGCAACCAGTTCTTAGATTCAGCTGATATTTAAATATTTGAATGTCCCTCTGAACATTTACCTATAACACATTCTAAATTTCTGTAGTGTCATGCAGATAATCTGTGTCTTTACAGAAACACTGATTTAGCAGAAGCTTATATACATGTGCAAGTAATATGACAAGTTTATTTAGTTTTCACTCCCAGTCTGTGCTTCTTGATTAATAACTCATACAGACATAGTAATACCTAATATCTTCTAAATATATTTTCACTTTTAGAGTACTAAAAATCTAAGCAGAAACAGGAATTACAGACACCCATTAAAATGGTTGTCCCACCCCATCATCTTCTAAGAGATATACTTTATAACAGTCAGTGCAGCCAAATTTTTCACATTAATATGCGTATATATATACACATATTTGCAGTATTTCCTGCTAAACTGTCCCAGAGGAAGATTCAGAATACTGTTCTATTGCACATCAGACAATATCTGCTGTGAAGAGAACATATTCTAAACAATATAATAAGCTTAATCAAGTACACTGCCAGCTGAGATGAATTTCACACATTGCCAATTCTTGCAAAAAATCTCTAGAACAGACCAAGAGAACAACTTAAAATCTAAGTCATTACACTGCAAATTATATATACTTGCTTACAGTTGCTGCTGTCCAAAACCAGAAATAACAGAAGGTCATGCTGTTGACCTATGTTTCTAGAATATCCTATGTATTTAATAATTTACTAACACATTTCTCCCACACTTAATTGGAACTATTCTACTATTCTTCCTTAGTGTTTTATAAGACCTTCCAAATAGATTTTCTTTTTTTTATTTAGAGAATAAATCTCCTGATCATCCCCACTTACTATTGTCCAGTTATCAACACAAAGCAGTCTTGGAACATGGGAACTGATTTGCATGAATCTAAACCAGAAAATGCACTTCAAGAATATATATATTACAATCATTAATGAGTATTCAGTCCACAAAATGAGACTAGGACTAATCCAAAGGAACACCTTCATAAATTTTGTTGTGTAGGCACTGGATATTAAGCATCCACTGTTTCACTCCATAGATTTGCTTCTATTGCATCATCCCTCATCACTAGCTAACCTTAGATTCCACTGTGTTTCACACTTTAAACAGGATATAATTTACACACAGAATTCTGCATATTTTTATGTCTATATAATATTTTAGCATATTATCTTAATGTAAATATACTGAGTTATATTTGATCTAACAGCTTTAAACTATACAACTGTAACAAAATAGTTGATGTGTAATTTTCCTATGGACTTATCTAAAGTATTAATTTTATATAACTGAAAAAATAGAGAACCTTGATCTATAATTTTGCCCCCAAATGGTCAATTTTCTTTGCTATACCACATACCTCTAGGCTTTTTCCCAAATGAACACTTGCCCACAGCTTTAAAGTTTTTCTTGATTAAATAACCTGAAGCCACTAAGCTGACCAAGCAAAAAGAAAAGCCAGAACTTTAAGCCTATATGTGTTACAAACAGTACCAATATGGTTAGTATGATTTAAAGTGTTCTACCAGATCACATCTCTCAAGAAAACCCACAAAGAGTTCTACAAAAGTAGTAATAAAGAACTGTTTTAAACCCTCAGAAGCAAGGACTTTCCAACTGGAAATGAAGAACCATACTCAACCAAACCTAATGCAGTAGGCATTCCAGCATGTACAGTACCATAAGACCTCCAAACATTCAAATCAATCTTTAAGTAGAAAAAAAAAGAGCAAGGATGAGGGGTTTTAAGTCATCTATTTTATTGCAGTACTGAGTAATTCATTTTTTTTAGTTGCTGTTTCTAAAGTTTCAGAATAAATCAAATGACTTCACATTCAACTTTAGAGGAGAATGGTTACATAAGGAAAAGTTCCTTCTGAACTACAGTATTACAGTCTGGCACAAGCAAGGCAAAGGGTAATATACATTTCCTTAATAGCAAGCTTGTTCAGCCATTCTCGCTGCTCCCTGCTTTCCACAAGAGAATAAATGAGATCTGGGTGCCTTTATCACACAGATTTATGACCTTTTCCATCCTTGCCAACATATAAAAAACCTTATTGATTACTGTCAATTATATTTTTAGCCTTCAATTTCTTTGGTAATGGAACTATAGCAGTACTACAAATAAAATTCATGAAAGTATAGACCTTATTTTGGCAGATCTGATGGACTGATCTAGTATGAACTTCTGGTATCACTGCTGTGCTGCAGCCTGCATTGAGGTCAAAAATTTCCAATGCTCGGTTGCTGCCAGCTGTAAGTACAATATCTGTAAGGTTCTCTGTGTTAAAGTTAAACTAATCTAAAGGAACAAAAGCATATAGATGGACAAAAAGACAGATAAATAGGTATCAAGAGTCTGTTGTATTTCGTGCTCTATGAGCAGCACCAGAAATCTTAAAATTTTATGTCCAAGGCTGAAGTTCAATACTACAAAAAAAAATACAGCATTTTTCCTCTAATTGAAAAAGAGTGGTAAAGAATCAAATGCTAATTACTTTAACTGAAGTTATTTCCATGTCATTAAGTCCAAAAAAAATAATAAGTACAAAGGATACAAGAGTAGAAATCATTTACTGCTGAAAGGCTGGTAATCTCCATTGTTGAAGCCATGGTAAATTTCTGTACCAATTTGCAAACACTTCTTGGTTTGTATCTGCAGAAAATATCAAATGAATGATAGTGTTAATGAAATAAATTATGATTTGTGGCCACCAGTAAACTCCCATTGGAATCACAAAGCAAATAAAAATGCTTTCTTTCATTATTAAAAATTAAAGACACAGACCTTTTGACTCATTGCTGAACTCTAAAAACTTGGTAACAAAACTCATTTGGATGAATAGAAACATGATATTTGTACACATAAGATAGATATTTCATCAACACTAAACAATAAAATAATCCTGCATGTATATTGAAATTGTTGAAGAGAAAAAAAATCTGTCAAGTACCCATGATCACAAAGCAGAAATACCACTTGTATAGCATTTAAAGTGCTGATCATAGGGGCAATAAGAAAGAAAATTAGGAGAAAACAGTGAAGAAAGAATCATTTCCACTTAGATGGCAACAGAACACAGGGCTGATTACACACTGCCAAAATATTTGGCTTTCCAACATACAATGGACTCTTCAAGGTCCTGTCGGATATCTCCCAGCTTCAGGCAGATGTTGCAGACATGCCAAGCCCTCTAAAATGGCTTCAGACTTTTTTATATAAGATAATATCATATTCAGTCTGATTAGAACTTTCTGTTTACTGAAATATATCAGCACAGACAACATGGATATGATCATAAATCCACCAAAGTCAACAGAAAACATTCCTCCATGGATGCGCATACGGATATGTTGGGCAAGAAGAGTGTGATTTCCATATAAGTTATCACCTAAGGAATATAAACAGAGTTGTTAACAACTGTACTGGGTCTGGTTGGGGTGGAGCTAATTTTCTTCATAGTAGCTTGTATGGTGCTGTGTTTTACATTTGTGACCAAAACAGTGTTGATAACACACCAGGGTTTTATCTATTGCTGAACAGTGTCTTCACAGCGTTAAGATTCTCTGTGTTTCTCACTGTGCCCCCAGAGTGATTAGGCTGGGGAGTGCAAGCGGTCAGATGGGGACATAGCCACGACCACTTACCTGAATTATCCAGAGAGATATTCCATAACATATAACACCAAGCTCAGCAATAAAATTGGATGGGGAGGCATTTTTTGCCCTTCAATTCTCACCCCCTATCCTACTGGGGATCCCACTGGGAGAGAGTGAATAAGCAACTGGGTGCAGTCTGAGCTTCCAGCAAAGGTCAACATATCACAATAACTCAGAATTTCTACATTATATTCTAAATGGATACACTCTTATCTATAATTATCATGCTAAATTTTACACTCACTTAGCATGGCCTTTGCTCTATCCATCTATAATTTGTTCTGGTATAGCTTCTCATTTCATCAGAGCAGATATTTTATCATTACTTCCCTTACTGTATGTATGATTACTACAACCAGTTCCTAAATATAATGGCTTTAAAATGGAACACAGTTTTCTCCTATTTAAACTCCTTTCAAATTGTCCATGCTTGTTGCAGTTACCCTAATAAAACAGCTTGAATCCTAGATTATTATTTTGATTTTAGTTTAGAATATGATTTTGATTTTAAAATGCAGTTATAGCAGCTATGAGAATACAAGGTACGTTAAGGCCCTTAGGAATACATAACTAGTATGGCGTGTTCCTCAATCTCTATAAGAATCGTTATGGACTTTGAATTAAAACAATGGGTACTGGTTATGGACCTTGAGTCAAAACAATAGGTACCAGAAGATACTGGTTTTGGTTTGGAAGATCAGCCAAAGATGAAATGGGCATGTGTAAGGATGGAGTTCAATCAGCAGACACAGTGAGGAAGACTATCGATGACCACCAGAGGACCCCCATCCAACATAACCACATATGCATTAGGGATATTTTCATATGATAATAACTTCCAGGGAATAACATAAATATGCTAATCATCACCCTCTCCTCTGAATTCAAATCCATCAGTAAAGATGACCAATGATTTCCATAGAATAGGAATATAGATAAGGTGAGGTAACTGAAAGCCAATCATTATAGAGGTCAAATTAAACTCTATGCAGTTTATTGATGTTATGTAACCATGACTCTGCTGAAAAAGTGTATAAATGTGTCGTGCTTTGTACCTGTCGATGAACATGTCTTTGGTGGAGCTATCCCCCATGTTCCCCAGCACTGGAATAAAGGAGTGCCTGCTTATCTGTTTTGTGTAGGTAAATTCTATTCATGATTGTGACCTCTAGCATGCTGATCATTAAAACAGTACATAAATACTATAAAAATGAGATAACAACCCATAGATGTTTTGTTCTGTTCAAATTCTTATGTGAATTAAAAGTAATTAAGAATTTTTAAAATAATAATAATCTGAGAAGCAAATAGTTACACTTCATATCAGCATATACAACTGTTGATGAGAGTGGAAATGCAATAGTTAGTAATTTTGGAGAATGTAAAGAAAATTTTTCTGGTTGTGAATCATTTTGAGACTAATCATAGGAGCAGAAGTCAGGAGTTCTGTCTCCTATTACCAGAACTGCAGTAAATCTCCTCTATGACATTTGTAAATAAGGATATATTTAAATAAGTCAGTATGGAATATAACATTCTTCTTTCTTACTTCCACTTCTCAGTTTCACCTTTAAAACTGAACCAATATCTAACCATTTAATTGAGTTGCTGTAATGCTTAGTTAATTAATATTTATGGGGATTTCTTTGAAAACTCTGCACAGAGTAACAGTGATATGATTTGTCATTGTACTGTCTTCACATCTGAAATACAGTAGCAAACTATTGGTTAGCCAGACTGCATTGCCGTGCCCTTCTAATTAAGGGTATAAAGCATGCTTTGAGGTTAGATCTAGTGTCTTCTTGAGTCAGTTCCATTCAAGCATTCTTCCAAACTTGAATCAGTAAGGAGAATGAAAGACTTGTGAGAAACTAAAGGAATGATGCAGTGTTCAAAAAAAGGAAGAAATGCTGGGAAATGAACTGGAAGGAATCCACAAGAAAATGTCAGAGGAAATTAACCTTTAATACCTTTTTCTATAGCTACAGATATATAGATATAGATGATATAGATACAGATATAGATATAACCAGGCCTTAGGCTGGTTCGTGGATTTGTTGTAATGTCTACAATTGTGTGTTTGGTATTTTGGCATTAGATTAATATTCCAGAGAGTCTAATTGCATGTTTTTGAGTTCATATTAATGCATCAGGAAATATCAAGAGCATGGCAATAACAAAATTTTACTAGAAGCACAACCCTACATACATACTTTAACAGCTTTAAACCAGGATATTGTATGCTTCTAACAAAGGAATCAGAACATCGCAGAACACAGTTGAAGCTCACTGCCGAAGTCCTTACAAAACTGTTTGAAGTGGATTGTACAATTACATCAAGTTCCATACTACCTTTAGTTTCTGAACTAACTAGCTTAAAGGCAGTTCAGACAAGTCTTCCACAACAGTAACTGATGTATGGATTTTCTTCAGGTTACTGGATACTTTTCTCTGGGAGACATGAGTATTTGTTAAAAAAAAAACAAACAAACAAAGGAGATATCTAGAGCCAGCACATTATATACTATAATAAAAGTTCCAAAACCTGCTGAAACCAGCACATAAAGGCTAAGCCCCCACAAATTGAAGGAAAAAATATTTTATCTAAATCTTAAAACTGAAAAATAATCAGAAGAAGGAAGGATGTAAAAGATCAGAATATTGTTTTCCATCTTCTTTTTCTAAGTTCCTCCACAATTCCCTGCACAAATTTAAAAAGTTAAGAATGGTATAAGAGAAGCAGTTGCCTGCCTCAGTTTCCAAATACTATTTGTTTACACTATGAATAGATTTCAAGCAAACCTGAAAACAAGAATCACTTTTCCTGCATTCTTGAACTGTTACACTTTGCTATAGGGTTAGCACTTCAGAACATGAAATCTCTGTAGAACCAGTTACAAGAAAACAAATTCAAAGTGTGTGGGGGAAGTAGTGCAGGGAAATCCTTTCAAAAGAACTTGTGTCCCTATTTCGGTATTTTCATTTTATTCTATTAGTTTTGTCCTCCTGATGTAAAGCAGGAAATTCTGTGTTTCTTTGTATTTAGTTTTCCAGTCTATTTGCTGTATTTCCATTCCAAATAGAGTAAATGACTAAAATAATAAAAGCCACAACAACACCCTCATCGAGTGTTTTGACCAGAAATGGAAGCTAAAAGATCACAAGGGACAGTGGATTAATTGCAAAACAAAGAAGGTGACTGAAAATCACAATTAATTAACCATTTTGAAGAAATTTTAAACAGAATTTAGATCACAATCCTTTAGATACTTTTTCAAATAAGAAGGAATTTCTGTTCTTAAGCAAGTGTATTTTAAAGGAGTGATATAATTTGGTACTTTTCCTCCTTTTGTTTTCTGTATGACCATTTAAAGTTTCAGTGAAGTTCCACCTACCAGGTTCATGCCTCAATCCAGGAACACATTCCTATTCAAAAACATATTTAAGCCTGTGATTAGTATGTTTTTCCGTGCAGGGGCAAAACTACTAAGAAAATAGGCCAGTTTTCCCATCTAAGGATGCAGCCCAATACTATTTAATATCATGAACAGATAGAACACGCCATTCACAAGATCAACTAATAGACTTCAGTTGTGTGACCTGGAATCTGTTTGTCCTTCCACTCAAAATCTGAACATCAGACAAAGAAAAATACCTCTTTAAGGTGTTTTTAAATGCTATTGTCTCTAAACATATACATATATACATGCATATATGTATATATATTTGAATGTAATAAAGTCTCATATACACAAATACCATTGAAAACCAGCAAGAGCAAATGAAGAGCAAACAAACTGAGTAAAAAGGATACAAGGACAATTTTAGCTCCAATTATAAACTAAAAGAATAGAAAAGGTATATCAGACATTTAGTAAAAGAATTTATTCCAAGTTGGAAAGAAGAAGACATAAAATGATACACAGAACAGTACTGGCAAAAAGTGCATGAAGGATGCCTAACAATGAAGAAACACAAGGACAAAATAAGTAATTAGATACAATATAACAGTTGGAAAGTCAGTGAAAATTATGAAAGTGATCTATTTCTATTTGACAGAGAAGGAAGAAAACAGTCACAGCATGTTGGAGTCTGAAAGAAAAAGCATATAGAATATTCTCACAAGAGAAAGCTTTGCAATAGCTACTCAAGCATAACTTAAGACATCAGTGCACACTGAGATGTAAACAGGCAGAAGGTAAAGCTTAGAAGGTCCCAAATGGTAACAGTGATAGTAAAACAGTGTTTGTGGAAGTTAAGGTATGCACTATAAAAAGTTCTTTGACATTTCATTTTATTTTTCTGTTTTGCTAGAACAAAGATGTTTTTACAAATAGTTTTTACTATTTGTTCAATTTTTTTTCTTCTGTAACATTCTTTCCTTCCAGCCCACCTCACCACCCACATAATCACAGATCAAACAGTACAAGTACTTTCGCTGGTCTGTTAATGAGAAATTGTACTCACCGATTGAGGTCATCCCTGGTTGTGTCTACATGGAAACTTAACAGATGAAATTCAGCTCCACAACACAGCAATATAAATGCATCTATAAAGTAAAACTGTGCAAAGCGCACAGCCTTACAGAACTTTTCTTTTCCCTGAAATGCAAATAAAATTATTAAAAATGGATTCCAAGATAATGAATATTTTTTGTCTGAGATTCCTGGTGTTAAGGCATAGTTTCTCTGTTATTCTGATCATACGCCAGAAGGTTAACCTACTATGTAGTGGCCCTTCCTATTTTTGACATCTATTAATCTCAAAATAAAGTTTTCATTCTACTTAAATTAGTTGGCAGTAAAGTTAATAGTATCTGTAATCAATTAAATCTAATACAATCTAGCTTCATACTCTAAACTTCCATTTGAACTGGGGAGCAGACTATAAAGTCAAGAGCTGAGCCAACGAAAATAGAATATACAGAGCAGACAATAAAACCAAAACTTCCAGACATGCCCACTAGTTATATCTACAAAGGTTGTTTTATTTTCTTTTCATAAATTATCATGATAAAAGCCTGATTTGAAATCAACAGACACCACGCAGACAATCAGATGGAATCACCACCACTCAGTAGCTTTGAAAGTCAGTAAGTTCCTTCTATATAGCTGTTAAAAGGGAAGTAGAAGAAAGTGAAAAACAGTGTCCTCTGTGAACCAAACTCACAGGGGTTTCTAATTACCAGAATCAGGGCAGGTTCATTATTGCAGACTGACCAGACCCTTAAAGTTCTGTCTTCTGATGCAGAAACTAACCACTGCTTGTCATGACTCCATCCAACAGAGTTAAGTGCACCATCATGACCTAATAAAAATAATAAGGGAAACTTCATAATGATAATTCTTTGAATTTATACATTTCTCTAGAGTTAAATGTATTGTTTTAGTAAAATGATACACAATATTACAATATTTTTTAAATACACGCTTCAAATGGTTGGGTTAAAACTCATAGCAGTAAACCAGTTATTGATTTTTTTCTTCCAGCAAAAAACATGTAAAAATGTCTCTCATTAATAATCAGATAATGATAATTCTGACTAATTTTTCAAAGTTTTTGGAAGAGCATTTTCAAGAAACATCCTTGAAATTCAGTTTAAACAAAGACACAGTATTACTTGAAAAGACAATCTGAGTATTATAACTTTATATTAAACATGATCTAGAAACCACTTCAGACCTTGCAAATAGTTGCAATACTTTATTTTATTCATTAGGCTTTTATTACTGAGCTAACTGTTTTTGTAAAAAACATGACACTACAACAGCTTCCGTAGGACTGTTTCATTAGATTAAAAAAAATGTAACTGCCTCTTTAAAAATCATAGTTTGAAGTATTATAATCCCCAGTTAATAGCAAAAATATTCTACAAGAAGCAGACTTTTCCATTTTGGTGTCACACACTTAAAAACAAGATTAGAAACTTACAAAGAAAGAACTTCAAAAGCCAGAAACATCATCCAGAAGCTAAAATTATTAGTTTGATCTAAATGCTGATCAAAAAGGTCAAAAAAGAAGAAAATATGTCAAACAAATTTAATGAACTTTAGCACATATTATTCTTATTTGTCCAGATAAAATCTGATTAATTTCATCTAGCCTTAAAACATTCAAAGTTCTTATGCTGCCCTCTTGTGCACATTTTCTCTTTAGTCAACTGAAGTTTTATATTAAAAAAAAAAATATTGCTTTAAATTACAGGAAGGCTAATCAATTTATCTTAGAAATTAAGATCTCCTATGATAACATGTATCTATAAAAAGGCTTATAAACATGATATTTTAATTCCCACTTACCAAAGACCTGTAGAATTTTTACCAGAAAACAGCATAAGTACTGCATAAGCATATATGCAAGTACTATACTTATTTTATTCTCAACAGAAAGATTTATTTGGAGGCTTTGGTTTTGTGAAACCATTTGGAAGCCTTGAACTATCTGCATTAAAGAATAAATAAACGATAATAAAAAAAAAAAAAAAAAAAAAAAAAAACAACAACACAAAACAAACAAAACCAACTTACCACCAGAATATACAAAACAGTTTTCCAAAGTGGTAAGGAAAATGAGAAGCTTTAGGAAAATCTGAGGTCTGGAAAATTGGAAGGGCCATGCAAAAGCTTAAGAATTTCTGCACTCCAGGTCCCCCAATCCCAAAGCACAGTGAAGAAAATGCCAGCTGGCTTGCAAGAGGCCAGTAAGTCTCAAAACAGGCATTACTCTGGGTTGCCCAGTCCTGAAGTACATTGAGAAGGACAGTAGCTGATTTTGTAAAAAGACTTCAAAAAGGCCCTGCTGCCTGTAACTATTTTAAAGCTAGTCAACAGTACCTGCACTTCATTATAGAACATAGACCTGAAGAGCCAACACAGAATAGGAATGCAGAACTATTTAAAATTGTAACTGAGCACTTCAGGGAACAAAACTGAATAAATTAGGGCTATAGGAAAATTTCTGCTGTTATATCACTCCTCTCTGATGGTGCATTATGAAAATATGATATTCAATAATCAGCTATATTCAGATGTAAATACTGTATTGAAATTATCATTGCTGTTCCTTGCAAAAGGAAAATTTTACATTACCATTAATTGCAGCTCTGAATAAGAGCAATGTAGCATGGGTTTTAATGAAAAGAAAATAAATTTATTATGACACTTCAAAACCAAAGGCACATAAAGTAGAAAATAAATAGGTGATTTCATGATAATCTGAACTGTACAGAAGAACTACATGAATGAAATAAGCACGTAACTAATAGTCTGTGGTTCCCATTCCCCTACAGCATAGTATCTGACTGTTTCACATTTGTGTTGTTTTTGAAAAGAATTACAGGCACAGGTTGCATTCTTATGCTACCTAAAGAGCCTGAAGTAGAATATGGTTTACAACTCTTCAGACTGTGCATCATAAAAAAAGACATAGAATAAAGAATGAAAGATAACAAATAAATTAGATAGTAGTGCAAAACCCAAGAAAACAGAACAAAGCTAACTGTCAGAAGAACAATTTAGTGACAACAACAACAAAAAAATGAAATTAAAGCAAGACAAAGAACTAGTACTTGATGCCTTAACTACAGGCACCAGAAAATGCTTCTCTAGTAGCATGAAGTTTGGTGCAGGTCTCTTTACTCTTGTCATCACAATAAATCAACCTGCATTCACAGATGGCTGCAGTATTTTAGGGAGCTCTGAATGTTGAAACATGAAATCATAGTATTTAATTTTACTTCATAGAAAGGCAAAGCCTATCATTAATAATGTGTCAAAACCTAAGTACAGTTTCCTTCATGATTTAGAGTAACATGAACTAAGGTTTTCTTTCAAATTTAGAAACCTCTAAAATCTAACATTTTTTTTTCTGCTTTCAAATATGTCTACTTAGATGAATATTGTTTCTTATTAAAGTTTATGTTTTCTGTTATTGTCAGTGTTGAGCCATTCCTTAGATATTATTTGGTATATAGCAAGTATACAGAGGTATAGATACAACAAAGTCAGTGAAATTAGTATCTACTCCTAAGATTAAATAAAGATAAAAACCAGCCAATACCGATTTTATTATCAATGAATATTATCAAGGAAGCCTGCATAAAATCAAACTCCAGTGAAAAAAAAAATCAAAAAAATAGTATTTCACATGTCACTTTCTGCAGCATATAATCTCTATCTACATCAAAGTAAAACCAGACTAACTTCTTAGAGGTTCATATAAAGAGAAACTGGATCTGCTATGTAAAAGACAAACTACAAAGAACAGCCACAGAACACATACGGTACAATGATAATTTATAACATCATGGAATAATTTTCCAACATTTATATTCTACTTCATGTTCAGAGTATTCCTGTTACCAAAAAAAAAAAAAAGACTTTAAAGTTCTTGAAAATCATTTACATCTTAACTTAAAATACTCTACTTGACTTAACATACTCAATTTAAAATACTTAAAATACTCTACTTGTCAGAGCCTGCTAGTAAATGACAATCATCTTCCATTAAGAACTTACACAGAAAATTAATTTAACAGGACTGATTTAAAGTCATAACATTTACTGTTATTAAAAATGTAACAATCGGTTCTTGTAGAAATTAAGAATTCTTTTTTTTTTTTTTTAAGGTTCATTTACAATGTTAAGTAATGCACGTGTGCTTGCATGTGCATGCACTTTTGCAGATATGGATTTCTCCATAGGAATAGTCCCTTTTTTTTTTTTTAAATTATTGTTCTTTAGAAGTCTGGAGCTGCAAACCAAACCCATTTTTTGCCACGTCATTGCAGTCAATTTTTTGGCTAATAATCTATTACAATACACTACTGAAATATACACATGCATTATCATTACAATATATTGTCTTTATTATTACTATTTAATTATTGTAATATAAATACACAATGCAAATTGCAATATATATTGTGATATATTACTGTCTATCTCTCAAAAAATTAAGAAAAGGGAAAACCTGGTAGGCAGTTCAATTCTAGAGCAAGATTAACTAATCAGAAAAATAACTTCTACATATTAAATCCTGAGTATCCCCTCTCCCTTGTTCTTCTCAAGGTGATATAAGTGGAATGTTTTAATTACTATGCCATTTTAGGTTAAACTCAATCATATACTATTTCTTCAATAATGTAAATAATAAATTTACCTGAAAAGACATTACATGTATCAGTGAGATTGGAATTGAATATCAGTACAGTTTTGTCGGCCAGGCCACAAGCCAGCATTTCTCCATCCCCTATAAAGAAGAGCGTCTAATGATTTATATTTGAAAGCAACAAGGACCTAAAGTGCTATTTCATTTAATCATAAAAAGTCACATATGTCATTACAACAAAACACAAACCAGGTATTCATTTCCTACACTGGTAGGAATTTGTATGCAATTAATTTCTTGTCCTGACATATTCTCAAAATATTTATTTATCACAAGACAGAAATTCACTTTTCACAAAAAAAGTGCTACAAAAATTTAAGTGCAGAAATTTTTAGCAGTCATTTAAATCTATTTCCTTACACTCATTTTTTTATATCTTCTTATTAAAGTTACATCACCTTTTCTTCTATATTAGAATAAAAAGCACATATTAGTAATTCTGGATTGTTTCTTAAAGATGAAAAATTTCCTTCATAAACTAATCCTAAAAACTATCCAAATTCAGTCAGACTTTTCATTTATGCTGATAATCAGCAGAGGCACATAATGACAGGATAGACTCCCTTTATGTCTACATAATGGCAGTGATTTGTGAAACTTAATTTTTCGCTCAAAACCTTTCCTGAAAAAAAATAAAATAATAAAGACCAGATGAATGAAGCAATGGGAAAAAATATGGGAGGGTGGAGCAAGAATAGAACGCAATGAGAAAAAGTACAGAAATGAAGCACAGAATTCAAAGCAATGCTACTAGATTCACTTTATTCACTAGTATTTTTAAAGAGGTACCACCTGAACATCCCCTTCATAAATCTCCTGAGCATCTTTACAATTGGAGAGGGAATAAAAGTCATGCTTGACTTCACCAACATTACACACTGCTATCCACCATCCAAGTACCATCCACATTGCAGGTTCAGAAGACTATATTCCACAACACATTTTTTTACCAATTTATGGCAATATAAACAGATAGGAGATTCATATTTCTAATCTCGAGAGTCACTTACTAAAGGTGAATATTGAGACTCACATTGTGTTAGTAATAAGCTCTCTGCAACCAATTTCTTTCAGGAGCCATAAAAATTATTTCCTCCCATTCTTTAGGAAACAGAGAGATAGCTGGAATGTATTTTAGAAAAGTTATTGATTGCATCTAGTTGCTTTTATTTCTTGAAGATGGAAGTTGCTCTTGTCTTCAAAACGTTCATAAAGATATATATTTTTAAATACTTTGAAAATATTGTGGTTTGCATGGTGTACATTGACATAATTATATACTTGGTAATACATTTGTTTACTAATCTAAGAAGTGGTTTCTCTATAATCATACTTATATGGATTGGAAATGACTAAAGCTATTACAAGACTCATGTCCAAAGCTGTTAAGAAAAATACTCTTCTTTGGTTTATATGAAAGAACTATTTTTTTATATTTTAATATATAAAAAATGAATAATCTTTACATAAGAAATAGGAGTATTCTAATTCTTTTGAAACAGAACTTCAACTTTTAATACACCCTAGTGACACTAAGTAAATGTCTCAGAAAATAAATTCTTCATTGAAAGAACTCACTAGACTACTAACTTTCAAGTTGTAGTGGGAAGGTCATAGAACAAGTCCAAAGGAAACAAGATGTAAAACCAGAGAATTAGAATCCTTTTGCATATGTGTCAACAGCTTGCACGATTTTGCAAATTAAAAAATTATGATCGAACAGAACATAGTATTGCCACGAAGTTTTGTGGGAATTAACCTAGTATATCCATGGTCTTAATAAACCGTGTCACAGAAATTCTGTTTTCCTTCTGACACAACTGTACATGTTATAAAGTCTATACATACCAGAATGCTGAATGCAACAAATTGGGGTTGGTTTAAAAGTAACAGATATCTCCTTCTCATATTTGATTGGAGGATAACTTTCCAACGGATATTCTTTATTTTTACTTCAAAGAAGGAAAAAAGAGAAAGAGAAGAAAAATATTAAGATATCTAAACCTGGTACTTTTTCATTTCAGTTATGAAATAAATGTTCTCTGGGAGCTATTCTAAACATCTTTATATAAATATTTCCTGGAAAAGTTATGTTAAATCCAAGATAAGAGTCAGAATGAATTTTAAATTGTCATACTTAAATGATTCCTATCACCAACTGTTATGAATTCATGAGATCAAGAATTAACATGAACTTGTACATATAATCAAATTTCTTCAGTTGCATACCTAATAAAAGTACTCGAGCAACGCAAACTCTATCTTGTGACATAAGCAACATGAAAAATATCTCCATATGTAAAAATAATTACACTGATCATCTATTTAACAAGATACTAAAAAAACCTCACACCAAACTTAAAGTGCTGAGTACCTTAATCCATCATAAAATAGCACAAACCAATCTTGAAATTATCTCAAGTGCTCATCTAAAGGCTTGCCTATGTGTGCAAGGGTTACAAAAACTTAGTCTTGAGCTATTAAGTGTTTAAGAAACAGGTTTTTTAAAAAGAGAAAAATGATGGCATTAATAATTCTTTACTTTTATGTTTGTACTACATAGAACAAAGACTGTATATAATACTAAAGAGAAAAAATGTGTGTAATATCCCCATTTAACATGTCACACCAATTAACATCAAAGTGCCAGCTTTGAAAAAAACATTCACTCTATTAATTCTTTGTGTCCACAGTGATGATGAATCCACTAGTCAAATTACCATTATGTATACTCTGTTTACATCTGTTTGATTAAGCTTGCATTAGCTTAAGACAACATGACTTGAGGGGTGAATAAGGTACATGACCTGAAATCACTTAAGTCTCACTGTGCCACAGTCAGTTATTTTTCTGACTAGAATTACAGCTTAAGAACATGCTGGGGACTATGCTTCCAACCATATTTAATAATTGTTCTTGTTTCTAACAACAAAAATATAAGAAAATAGATATGTATATTTTCCATGTAAGACTCAAATTTAATTGACAGTCTGATAATCTGAATCACTTGCTGCAGTCATTTTATAGCAAATCTAATTTACAAAGCCTTTTAGTTCCATTGATACCTCTAACAGAAAGGTTCCAGTGAGAGAAGCAGCTACAAGCCATATTGCCAATAGAACTGTACTTATCCTCATTTTAATTTGTTCCTCCTCTAATTAAATTGCTAGATTACCTACCATTTACAACTGGTCTTCCACTTTGATACCTCTTTTTTCTTCTGGTTATTATTTAGAGAAAACATGGTCATTCTACAAGAAAGAACACAGACTCTCCTGAAACACTGAATGTTGCATAAGAGAAATAATTTGTTTCAAACAAAAAACAGTCCTACTTCCTTCTCACTATTTATGTCTGCTAGCAATGTCTGTAGGTAAGATAACATACACACTGATGACAAGACAACTTTCTAATGATCTAATGCTCCAGTTTGCACCTCAGTTTTACTTTCTGTGAGTTATTTGGTGGATAATGCATTCTGAAGGTCAAAATCCATTCATTTAAAGTTCTCAGACATTACCTTCTGCAAGCTGAAGAAACAAGAGTTTAATCATATGTAAGAGACAGGATGCCTAACACAGGTTTTGAAAGGAAGTTGAACACTGACCAGAAGCTGCAAAAATTGTGGTTTACAACATAATCTTAAAATTCTTTTGTTTGATAACATTACATCTGTTTTTCACAGGTAATTAATTTCACAGTCATGAGACTACATGGCTCTATTATCTGACAAAATATCACACACAATAAAACAGACAAAATAGTAATGTATCTACTCACAGTGGTGCAGCTGTATAACCTGATGATTTAATTTTATTATGGAAAACCAGTGGTTGATCTTTCACCATGCTTTTTACTCCTATAGCAAAATTAATTTTCATTAAAAAGGCTTTTTAACATTATATTTTTACAGTTAAGGTAGATACTTAGTTAAGCTAGCCCAGCAGTTTGATGTTTCCTTATGTTACAAAGCACATTTATGACCAATCACTCTAAAATAATGATTACTAAGAAAAAGAAAGAAATATGAACCGTTATATTGCATAACATCCCTCCTCCAATACTCTCAATGAATAGGAACTTCTTTAAACTTTGAGTTAACAAGAATATTGTTCTGAGGAACCTTTTTCATCATTCATTCACAAATGTGTTTTCTAGTTGCCTATTTTATGCTTAGACTTTATATGCACTAGCTATAATGTATTCACACCTTATATTTGGAATCTGGAATGCATCTAAAGATCATGAACAAACTGGCTGGTGGGCACACATAAATGTTTGGGGTTTTACATCATTAATAGTGTCTGCATTTACACTGTGGTACTAAGGAGGCTGAAGGACAGCCTCCACCCCGAAACTAAATATGTGCATTTCCTATTAGCAAAAACAAACTAATTAAATTATTGTAAAGAGAGAAATCTTGTTGATATTCCCAGGAAAAAGCTTCAAGTGCATTGGGAGTGATCTCATGGACACATTTACCTGTGCTGAGGATAGACACTCCTTCAACACCCATCAGCTACCATTTCTCTTTATGTAGCAATAAGGCAGAAAAGGGTCCTTCCTGGGAAGCTCCCAGTACCACTTGCTCTAGAAGACCATAAGATTTCCTTACAGCACCTAATGTATCTGAGTGTGAGGTGTCAACAAGGGCAGTACATGTATCAGCACTGGGTGTCTGAAGCAGCCTGGAATTCTAGCTAAAACACTGTAGATGAATTCTTGGAATATCATACAACACTAAAGACATAGCCTTTGACGTTCTAACAAATCCAACAAGTATGATAAATATGGTAAAAATAGATTACTTCTACATGTCTACAGCTACCGGTATTTTTACACCTTTCCTAAAAAGAAAGTGATAATGATAAAATTATTTTGTAAGTTCTTTTTGGACTTGACTTTACTGTTGCTAAGCAAAAATGCTACAAGTGCTTCAACAGTAACTTAAAGTCGATTTTTTTTTTTTAAACAGTAGGACATTGAGGCAAAAATTAACTTCATAAACTTGCAGGCATCGACAAAAGACAATAAAATTAACCAAAACAGATAACCAAAGTTAAGAAAGAAACTACAAATTATACAGAAAAAATATATTGCATGCTATGGAAAATGAATGACTTATGAAAAATATAAAAATTCTACACTTTTTAACTCTTAAAACACACAGAAAGTTCTCAGAGGGTTGTTTCTGAAAGAAAAAAAATACTTTTTTACCATAATTTTCACTGAAAATACATATTTAAGATACAAAATACTACTATAAGTATAAAATTCTTCCTACTAATATAAAAATATAATGCAATATATATTTGAAACAGAAATCAATATATTGATTGTATTAGGCACAAGCCAGTTGTGAGTCAGTTACTGCTATTAAGAATATAACCTTATTAATTCATTTCAAAATTGCTTTATACTTACCAAGTGTTTTACTAGAAGGTTCTTTCATGTTTTTCTTTAAATCTTTACACAATGGAGAATTTGTCAGTAAAGAACACCTAAGTTACAAAACGAAGCACAAAACTCAATCAATGCAATGGACAAATGCATCTGATTAGGGAAAGGTGTCAAAATTTCTTTTTAGCTATTTGTGTGCATGTGTGTATGTATATGTGTGATACCAGTGAGATTTTCATAAACAGAAATAAGGCATAGTGGCTTAGTTATCAGCTCAGATACCCAGCAGTACAGACAAGACTTGGCCCTAACTAGATTCACAGATCATTGCATTTACATATTAAATCCCATTTCTGTGAATATTAACTGATGATTTTATTATAAGCACTGAAATCTGAACTTCGGTGAATATTTTAGGTTTTTTACTGTTCTCAACATGTCAGTATTTTCCTAGAAATCATCTACAGGGACATGAATGACAAAGAAGTATTAGTCAGCATGGATACTCCAAGGGGAAGTCATGCTTGATCAACTTGATAAACTTCTATGATAAAATGACCGTCTTGGTAGACGAGGGGAAAACAGTGGATGTTGTCTACTTTGAATTCAGTAAGGCTTTCCACACTGTCATGCATAAAATCCTCATAGAAAAGCTGATGAAGTACGGGCTAGATGAGCACACAGTGAGGTGGGCTGAAAACCAGAAGAACAGCTAGACCCAGAGAGGGATGATAAATGGCACAAAGTCTAGCTGGAGGCCAATAACTAATGGAGTACCCCAGATGTCAATGCAGGGTCCAATTCCATTTGACAACTGCATTAATAATTTGGATGAAGGAGCAGAGTGTACCCTCACCATGTTTACTAATGACACAAATCCGAGAGGAGTGTCTGATACACCAGAAGCTGTGCTGCCATCCGAAGAGATATCCACAGGCTGGAGATACTGGGTTGACAGCAGTCTCATAAAGTTCAAAAAGGGGAAGTGCAAAGTCCTGCACCAGTGTACGGCTGTGAGGAAGGCTCTAGAACCAGGAGCTGTTCCCAGTGCCCAGTGAAAGGACAAGAGGCAATGGACAAAAGCTGAAATACAGGACGTTATGTTTGAACACCAGGAAACACTTTTTTACTGTGAGGGAGACTGAGCACTGGGAGAGGTTGCCCAGAGAGGTTGTGGTGACTCCCTCCCTGGAGATATTCAAAAGCCATTTGGAATGGTGCTAGGCAACTGACTGTAGGTGGCCCTGCTTGAGCAGGGCAATTGGACAAGATGACCTGCAGAGGTGTCTTACAACTTCAACCATCTTGTGATTCTGTGATTTTTCCCACTCAATACAACTAAAGCTTAACAGGAAAACAAGTAAAATAAACCCATGTCAACAAATAGCACAGTACAAAAACATCTGATGCACTTCAGTGTCAGAAAAACAAATGCATAGTCCAACTCAGAGGAAAACAACATTTAGTTACTCTGCACCTGGCAATAACTGATAGACTATTCTTGTTTCCACACAGGAGAAAATCACTCTGCTGACTTCTCACCAATGCAGCAAGGTTAACTTCCAACACAGCAATCATATCCTCAAACATGGAGGTGATCAAGCATAAAACCTGCAACAATTATACCATAAAATAACTCCATTTACTTCATAATTTAAGCTCCAACACTGAAGCATTTATAATGGAAAATCAAATAACTTCCTGTTATTTATGAAAATTAGTCACAAATACCCATGGGTTTAGTTTTGTAGACCATTAAACAGTAAAAAGTGGTTAATGCTGTACTTCAAAAATATGCTTATGTTGTTTAAATATGTCTTAACAGATTAGCATACATAACAGTCACAAAAATTCCAATATTTTCTACAATAGAGATATTTCTGCAGTAAGAGTTGTGAAAAAAGGACACATGGAAGAGAGACTGGTTTCAGAAACATGCTGAGAACATGCTAAGAGCTGAATTTAAAACAAAATCTTTCTCTAAAACAAAACACTGGTATGCTAAAAATGTAGAAAGGCCTAGATTCAGCTCAGTTCTGCAGGAAAACTGTAACATCAAAAATGTAGTATACAGGCAAGAATGTTTTTAATTTCCTTAAAAGCACTTTTAGTCACTTTCCACAGAAATTTTCCCACAACCCTAATAGTTTTCACAGATTTCTTGGAAGGATTCAGAAGCAGTTCATTCTAACGTTGTTTGAGAAACAAAGTGTAACAATGCTTTTGCATTTTTTCCCCCTAAAAAATTGCCTCTGCTCCCATAATGATCATTCTTGACATTCAAGGTACATACTGAATACTACAAAACAATTCACTTTTTCCTTATTAATCACTTTGGACAGTATACAGACTGTGAGAGCTTTAAAACTACACAGCTATTTAAATGAGTAGATTCCATAAAGAAGACATCTCCAGAGAAACTACAGTGTAATTCACATCAAGCAACTTGTGTACATGAGTCTGTAAACAAAATGTGTAATTAATATTTATTGAAAATAACTGGAAATGTAAACATTAATTAAATCAATGTTTACTGTATACTCACCTTTCCGTTAACTGCCTTCCTTGTTAAAGCACATGATCTGGCAAATCGAATGCTGAGGTCACTGTAATCTTTACCAAAAAGAACACAGTGCTATAAAATTGTATTTGCATTTCAAAAGCAAAAAAATATCATCTCTAAGACAGGAAAAAAATTATTCATACTAATTTGACGCCACCGTAATCCACTGTCTTCAGTGTATATTCTTCTATTTTACCCTCACATTATAAAGTAGTAGAATAATATTCCTTGTATTTAACACTCATGAACTGCAAAATCAAATCAAAATTTATTGCTAGACTCTACAGAAATCTAGTGTTGACAAATACTCTGAGACAAGTCAGCAGTGCCAGAAAAACATACAAAAGTTAATTAGAAAAAACATCTAAAAAAACCCCACTTAGTTTCTACTGTATTCTGTTTCACAGACTAGTTCTTATACTATTTATATCAGATAACAATTGAAAGCAATTACATTATAGTGTAGTCAGATATCTTATAATCATACCTTTGTAAGATAAAAAAGCTTCTAATTCAAAGTTTGCCAAATTAATTATTAACAAACCAGTAGTGCTTCCTATCCAAAGATAGCTAGTATTCAGGGCAGAATATCTATTTTAAAAAGAAGAAAAAATATCTGAGTATGATAAAGAAGCTTTTCTTATTACCATGAAAGACACAGCAATTGTGGTTTTTTAATACTTCTTACACAGTCCCAGTATAACAATAATAAACCACACCAAAAAAAAAGATTTTATACAGCATTTTTTAAAAATCTGTAGCTCAGAGTAAAAAGTTTTAATCAAAATTGGTGAAGTTTTGAAAACTAAGAACAGAACACAACCCTTGATTTTATGTAAGTGCTCATGGCAAGTCTAAAAATCTGTAGCTCAGAGTAAAAAGTTTTAATCAAAATTGGTGAAGTTTTGAAAACTAAGAACAGAACACAACCCTTGATTTTATGTAAGTGCTCATGGCAAGTCTAAAACACATGAAGTAATTTTCTTCAAAAATTACTGTTTTTTAAGTTGGGAGATGCTGTAAAAGCACAGCGTACACAAAGTGTAAATTCAAGGAGACAAATCCACATATATTCTTACTTTTATTACCTGTAATATGAACACACAAAAAGCAGTGAAATTTAAGGTGTATTTGTACATAGTTAAAGTACAAGAGAAAAACCAGCACAAGCTAAGGGAAAAAAAAAAACAAAAACAAGGCAGGCCTGGAATGCCTGTCTCCAACTGTGCTTAGAGGCAGTAGTATTGCAATTAGGTAATGAAATCCAGCCTTCAGAAACACCACAGAGTAGACCAACTGGTTATATTTTCAGTCAACACGCTCACAGAATAAAAATGTTATCAAGTATAAGATGATTACAACAAAATAAAGGTTGTCATTCTCAAAAACTAAAAATGTTTTGATAACACAGTAAATAAAAATTGATATCAAAATTTTAATAAATCTTCCAAATAAGAGTGAGTAGACTTATCAGTTTGATTTGTAAAGTCACACCACAAGAGATGAAGTAAGGGTATGGAAAAAGATAAAGCTGAACGTTGTCATGAAACGACTTACCACAGTGGCGTAATACTTTTTTTATAAAACAAACAAACAAACAACAACAACAGCAACAACAACAACAACAACAACAAAACAAAACAGAAGTAGTCAAGTACATTAAAAAGCAGACTGGGAAAGACAGTTTCAGTTCTGGTTTGTGATACTTTCACGTGGTCTGTATAGTTTTATTTGTGGTTTGTATTCCTTTCATGCATGGCAGTAACAGACTGTTTTAATTTGTGAATTCTTTGAATTATTTATAAAGAAGTGGCACTATCAAGTTGTTATGAACAATGATATCAAGTGATATATACAGGAAGTTGATCTCATGCCCACTTTACAACAATAAAATGCCATCCACTGTGATGAAATTACTCAATGTCAAAATGCTTAGGAAAGCATGAGACCCATAATTTTTTGGAAATCAGTGTTGCAAAAATGTTTCACTGTTGCATTTCATTGCAGGAAGGAAAAGTGTTAAAACATGGATTACTCAGTTGTTCAGACAAATCTGAACCACCTGCTAAAACCAACACACGGAAACTTAAAAATTAAACAGAAAAATTATTTCTAAATACAAAACTCTAAAACCAAAAGATAATGGAACTGGATTAATAATAAGAATTAAATTATCATGGTTGTCTATAAGCAGAGCAAAACCTCCAACTGTGATGTGATAGATGAAAGGGTAAATAGTCCTTAGATGTACAATGCCAGGCAGTATCAGGTGGGTATTGGAAAGTGATGTTACTTCATTTCAGAAAATTATTTCAATTAACCTATTACTGTGGATCCATTTCAGGCACCCATGTCCAAAAAGGGAATTAAAAAAGAAAGGAGATTGAATTTCAGAAAAAGTTCAAAAGCCATACAGAAAATACAGAAATACAGAAATACAGAAGCCATACAGTTTCATACAGAAAATATGCCTTACACAAGGTGCAAACTATTTTATCCAGAAGTGTAGAGATAATTTCTTTATAAGCTAAAATTTGCTATACAAGGAGGGAACTTGAGAGTAGCTGGCTCTAGACAGTCAGAATAAAAAACATACTATGAGCCAATAACTGTACATCAAAAGAGAGTATTTCAGATTAGAAGCAAAATTGAATGAGTCAGCTGCAGGAACAACTTAACCGGGGACACGGTGGATTCTTCATCACTGGAAAATTAGCCTGTTAAGTTTTGATGATGACAAAGTTTTGATGATTTGAGAGTGGTATTCTACAAACCATAAGACTAACTGACTGTAATAATTCATCTACTGGCCTTAGAGTCCTGACATTCTATTAAAGTATGTCTGAGATGTGCATCCTAAAAATCACTATTTCCTTGCACTCAGCTGTAGTCCTTCTGAAAATGTAGGCATCATGAAAATAACTATTTGTTAATGATTACTTCAATTTGACATAAAAGGCAAACAAAGTTACCCAGGACTACAGGATAATTTTCTTCTCTGTTTATCAAAAATTGTTTATAACTCTAACCAGAGGATTGATCAGTTATACCTGTACAACCCATCATAGGCCAAAGGTGGAACAAAAGTTTCCTAAAACATGACGTGGATGAGAAACTTATCCAAATGACAATTATAAATAACAACAAAAACAAGTTGTTCTATGAGACAGTTCTTGTGGCAGTACCCTGAACCGATTCCCAGATGCCTGATAATATGGCTAAACTTCTCTTCAGGAAATAAATTCAATACAGGGATTAATTTAGATATCTCCCCTTTACCTGGACAACCAGTTCCATGGGAAGGAGTAAAACCATCATGCTTTGAAATGTCTGTCTCTCTGACAGAAATTTGACTAGAACAGGTTATGTAGTTCAAAACTTATATAAATTTGGAAGGCGAACTGACACAGGCACACAGTGACTGCATCAGACTTATTTCCTTAGGAAAGCAAGCTAAAAATAAATTTGGCTTTTTAATTCTAGTTGGCTTCTTAATTATTTTTTTAAACTCATCTTCGCTGATCAACCAGTATCAATAGATGCTAAAATGAATCTTCCTAATGCCATTTTTGTAAAATTGTTTTTTGGACTCAAAACCAGTTTTAACTTTGTATCAGATTGTGTATATTATCTGCCTAGGAGTAGGCCACCAAAACTTGCATATCACTAAATACATTGTTTGACTTTCCTATTTAATTAAAAAAAAAAAAAAAAAAAAAAAAGTAAATTGCAGTGAAAATAACCCAAGAACCAATAGGAACTCCTAGGAATAGATTCCAGCCAAATACTTGGTGATATTTTAAAGGACTTACATGTTTTCTCTATTATGGAAACATACTGAAAATTCACAGTGTTCAATTAAGAGGATAGGCAATGACATTTCCACTGATCCTTCTGGTCTGATGTTGTTTGTTTTGCAAAGCTTGGAAGTATTTTGCCCTTCACCTAAGAAAGACAATCAACAGTACTAGTTATCAAAACAAAACAAAACAAAACAAAAACAATTAACAACGGGAAACAGATAGGATTTAAGAGAGAACTGGAAGTAGTAAAATAGCATGAACTAAGATCACACTCAAGAAGTTTCTATTTCAAAAAGTGGATATACCCTAATAGCCAGCCCACTTGTAATATCTTTCCTCATTACTATGTTATTTTTAGCACCGTCTTCTTTCAAATACCTAGAGATAAAATCCAAAAAGCCTACTTAAGGAGTTGGCAGAATTTATATGTGTTCATCTCAAAAAGTGACTCTGAAAGTCATATTCCAACAACCCTTAATTATGTTGGGCATCTTTCCTTTAAGAGGACCTCAACTCACTTCAGCTAGGGTGGCAGGTACTCTGAATGCCTCATGTGGCAACATGGAATCACCTTGCTGAGGTTACCAGTGCAGTTTTTAAAGACTTATAAGTACTCTGTGTTATACCACGAGAAATATCACAGCCAGAGAAACATCATATCATGGAGACAGTGGTATGGATTAAAAATAAATCAATAATTAAATATATAAATAAGTAAAGAGATTCCTAGAAGCTTCAAATGTAACTGAGAAATGGTACTTCACTTAGACAGTGGATGAATTTTTAGGCCCTTGATTCTGCTCTCACTGAAGCCTTGGGCAATGAATTCAATAAAAAACAAATGCTTAATAGTTCACATCATGCAATGTTTTATAAACAGATACATTGGCCAAGATTTTATTACAGACATACATGCATAATTCTTTACAGATATGTCAAATAACTCTTTCCAGATACGTCAATACCCAACTTCATATCAGGTTCAATAAGAATTCCATGCCACAGTCTGAGACCCATAACTCTATCACTTATAATAAATTCTCATGGTATCAAAAGCACACAATCAGTAGCCAATAACAACTAGAATACACCATGAACAGCATTCTAGAAGCACTGTGCTACCTATTTCTTTTCCAGATTTCCGCACTTTATTGCAGAATTTCTCTTGTTCTTTCTTTAAGTTGATATGTGTTACACAACGATAATTATGATCACTGATTAAACTGAAGATCCAAAGCTACAAGGAAAAGAAAAAGCAATTGCAATAACCTTTTGACACTAAACATAAAGCTTACATGAATACAAACTAAAGGTACATTATTTAAAAGTGTTGATGTAACTAATTAATTTTTGTATCTGGAATCTCACCTTGGACCTTCAATTATATGCATTTCTAAGATTATCAAAGGATATATTCAATATTAGCAAAAACAGCCAATATCAATTTGAACTGAGCATCCAATTCCCACATTTGTGTCTCTGAAAAAAACTCCTCATAGACTACTTCCCACAATTAAAAATCACAGGAAACCTGCATGTATTGCTAACTGAGTCATTTGAAAGACAAATTTAATTTCTACCTTTCTCTTTCTAGGCACCCCTACAGTTGAATCTTTAATTTTCTTCACAATTCACTGGATGGTAACAATGAAGGAAAATATCTGGAAAATCTCATTAAATATATTCCTAACATTATATTAAAGAGGAGGTGAAATGTATATTCACATTTATCACATTTTGATCAGAATTCCAACATGCTGAAATTGAAGTCCCTTCCATTTATTGTCATGTTCATAGGAGAATCCTATTTTTCACCTATTTTCCTTTAAACCAGATATATTCATGACCTCTCAATGTACTCTTCTTATACAATCACTCATTGTGCTCTTAAAAACTTTACTGGTTTTCAGGAAAAAGTTTCCATTTTGTAATACAGGTCTTATATACCATTTATGTTTTATGCTCAAAGCAATGAATTATGCTTACCAAAATAACTGTTGTAACAGTTCAAAACATGTAGGTAGATTGTGACCCTTTTTTGTACACAGCTACATTAATGATAGCTGACTATTTTGATGCAGAGACTAAGTTTAATGTTTAATTCTTACCTGTCCCTCAGCACATCCAGTGATAATCTGTTTATTTTCCTCATCAATTAGCAGACTTAGCAAAGGAAATGCTGTTTCAAAAAAGATAAGATTATTTCCAGAGTAGATACAAATCAGATATTTAATTAAGATATGTAATTCAACACGGAATCTTCCTGTTCATTAAGATTGGTGAAAAAAACCTTTACTGCAATTCTTACAGTTGCACAATGCTTTGTGTGCCTTAGCCTTTGTGTTGATAAGGGCTTTCCATTGGCAGGTCTGTGACCTGCCTTTCACCCAAGCTGCCATGGCAGTGGTTTTCTGCACCCTTTCACCCAAGCTGCTGTGGCATGGTTTGCAGAGCCTCTGTGGCAGTAGTTTCCCCTTGTTGTTCCCATGCTGTTACTCTCACAGCTGTGCATCTGCAAACCCTGGCATTGAGGTTAAGGTGGGTTTTCAAGGGAAGCAACTGCCACAGTCAACCAGGGGGGAATCAACCCTTTTTCCTTTCCTTTCCTTTCCTACCACGTGATTTTAGCTTTTAGTTTACATGAGGCTATCCAATAATTTGTATGCACAAAGCTTAATAATCAGTCTCCATGCATCTTGTGCCCCCAAAGTGTGCTCCAGTCACCAGTAACAGCACCACAAGTGGCAACAACCAAAGGGGAGTTTGAGCAGGTCCTGTTGAAAACTATATGATTCTTGTAGGAAAAGTGCTATTGCAGGAGGGGTCCCCGCTGCGCTGGAGACAATGACTGCCCTTCTCCTCTTCTCTCCTTTTGCTCTTGCCTTTCCACAAGAGTAGCTTTTACCTTTAAAGTCAATATATGCCATCAACTGCAGATGTTGCTAATAAATCTACATATAGTATACTTAAAAGTATTTCCTTTCATGTCGTATACAAAACTTGAAAGAAAACAAACATATAATACTCAAGCAGTGGAATTGTACCTAGAAAACAAACAAGAGAGTACCATTTGAATATCTCAGTAAATGGCAACAATTACATACACACCCTGTACAAAAAGAGCTCTTTATGAACGTACACTAAAACTATCTACCCAGAATTACACTTCAAAGGAAAACATATTTACTACTGGCTTTAAAGGAGAATATATTTACTACTACGTTGTCTGCTAGAATTATTTTGACTAAATCAACTAAATACTTCTATTATAATTTTATATAATTGTTTAGAGAGAGGATTTTTTTGCTATGAGAAAGTATGCATAAAGAATAAAACGTACCTGTTAATACTCCCGACTGATATATTAACTGGCCGGTAGAATAGTCCCACACCTTTCCAAAAAAACCCATAAAGTAAACGATAGACACCTACTTAGATCTTTAAGGAAAACACAAACTTCAACGGCCATCATGTGGTGAAAACAGAGAAATGCAGCCATCGAAAGTGATGCAATGTGGTAAGGATTTTTTTCAGCATTTTTTTTTCTAACTACATAGGGCTTTGTTTAATTTATAAGTATCCATAGTGAGACAGGTGAAACTCACCTGGTATGAATACACAAAGTAATTAGAAGTACTTGTTATCATCTTAAGCTAAACTAATGAAAAGACATACTTGAACTGGTTCTAGATGTCTCACAAGGAGATTGCACAATTTCACAGTTTTCATATTGGGCTTTGGGATAAGAGGTCATTAGTAACAATAACAATAATTATACTTATTATCATCTATACACCCACATATAAGTCAACTTTCATTATTAACATGACTTTCTAAGTGATAGATTCTATGCTTAATAGGTGATTAAGAATGACAAATAAAACCTATTTTTTTTCTCTCAAGTTGTTATTTCTACATGCCTTCCTTTCCACAAGTGCTTCCACTACACTTATGATAGCTATCACAGCTAAGATTGAAAAAATCGCAGCTAGACAGCCCCCACTTTCTGAACATGGCTGTGAACCTCTGATTAGCTCCCAAGCTTTTTTTTTTCATGTTTCATTTCTCTCAGAATGTAAACATCATTCTTCTGAAAATCTGTTTCCTAAGATCTTGTTTCACAAATTTATCTGAAGAGACTCTCATCTGTTTAATTTCTTTAGCCAAGCAAAAGGGATAAGGGAGCATCTGGTTTTGGATGCTGCAAGTCCTGCAATAACAGGAGCCAGCTATCACAGACTCCAGCACAGCTGCCCTCAGAGAATTACCCCTGATCTACAGAAACAGGCAGAGAAAATAAAACTTGAGGATTTACTAAATTATTTGAGAGACTTGCAAAATATTTTGACTGTCATTTTAGTCCCAACATTTATCAAGGTTAAAAAAACAAAACAAAGCAAAAAAACCCACCTTATTAATTATTATTATGTATAATTCATCAACTCTTCATTAAATTAATGTTTAATGCATATATATTTATTAATTATTATTAATATAAATATTAATTAATATTTAGTACAGCATACAGATATTTTCCTTCAGTAATTTTTACCTTGATTTAATTTCTTAGATCATCATAAACTAAATAAGAAACAATCAATCAGAAAGTCAGAATTATTAATATTTCCTAAAACTCCAATTCAATCTTTTATATTTTTTTTTGTCCAAGACCAGAACAAAAATAAAAATCACATTTTCTCCAGAATAGTGTTACATAAAAATTAAATTTAGGGAAAAACAAAACCAAACAAAACAAACTTTGATATAGAAAACTATAATTTTACTTTAGCTTGTAGAACCAAATGTTGGGCTGCATTCAGAATCATATAGAGGACAATCAGTAGTAGACTAAACTGTATCTAATCAAGGGACCCACCCCAGTATCTTCTGGAAAATACACGTGGGTTCACTCAGGCTCCTAGTTTCCCCTTACTGTCTAAGTTGTCTTCAATTATTGTCACGTACAGCAGCAGCAATCGATGGTGCCATCATACAAAATGTCTGGCAAAAAATTCTACCACTATGTGATAACCCATTGTATGCAATAACCCAAACCAATATTCCCAAAAGGTAAATTCCAATCAGTGTCAGCAGAGTCAAAGTGAAATACTTTCATTCAGTTTAGCATACTTGAAACTTCAGTTAAAGTGAAACTGATTAAAATATTTTATTTCCATTTTCCAAATAATAATCACCAAAGATAACACTTCACTCTAGAAAGTTTTGAATTTACAAAATCTGCATTGTTCTTTTAAAGAAGAGTAATTATTTTTTTTGCAATAATTTCCCATGAACAATGTCCTAATCTCTATAAAGTCAAAGATGTTTTTTGCTTAATCTTCAGAAAATATTTAAAGGGAAAAAAAAAAAAAAAAAGACTACTTCCCATATTCACTAGATTATATTTTTTTTAAGTGCAGCTCTACAGTTTCCTTGCCTTAAAGGTTCTGTCTTCTGACACTGATATAAGCATGCTTTTCTCCCATGTGCAAAACTCAGCAGCAGTCACTGGAGCCAGGTGGCCATGCAATTCAGCTAGTATAGTTTCAGTCTGTGATTAATCAAGTCAAAATAAAAACAGATTAGATTTCAAAATAAAAGTGACAGTTAAATGTTTTCATTATTAATAAGTGTTGCCAAAAATTGTCAGATCTTGATTCAAAATACTAATTCAGTTAGATTTTTCTTGTTGAAAATGCAGCCTTGTATATCATCCTGCTGGCAAAACCACTACACATTACATGTGCTTCTTCGGCATGAATGATACAGGAGTAATTTTTCAGACGTCCTCAGAACATTTTCTTCTCCTAAGTTATTGAGATATTGTTTCATTTCAGCTTTTAAAATCTAGTCTTCTATCTGGCATTATCAAGCATTATTTCATGCTTACTTTCATCTATATGAGAAAAATGAATTCTTTTGCTTAATTACACTGACATTTCTGTATCATGATTTTATCTGAAAGTGAGTAAGTTAAAGAAATACCAGCACTGTGGCTACAAAGAATGGTATCTCACCTTTGCACTTAATATGTAGATCTGATTTCCAGCACACACTGCCACTTGTTGATCATCTGGACTAAACCTTACATGAAGCACCATGCCCAAAAGAGTTCCTATAACAATTCCTCGAGGTGTTAACCCTGCAGAAATTTTATTGTTAATGAGACTCAATGAAATATAAAACTCTGTTGCAGTGATGTTATTATAAACTTTACATAGCAGTTATTTAACCACAGAGTTATCCCAATTTATGTCAGCAAGATGTACAAAACAGCCCACTGTTTAATTATACCAGGCCATTGGAAAGCAAAGTACAGAACTGTGTACCAGCAGGATTCTTCCATCTGCCTTGTTGCCTAGACTTGATCTGATACTCTTTGAGATACTAATAATAAGTGTGCCCATCAAATCATACTTCCATCAAAGACTGCCAGGGACAGTAGGGTGATGTGCCCAAGGAACCTAGTAGTGCCATGTTCATTTTGGATGCAAGAAATCCTGACTGAAGCCCAGTGAAAGAGGGGATTGAAAAATACTTCTTCCAGGAGAATATCCCAGCCACTCAGCCATCAAGCAAGGGGGACTTTCCTCCTCTTGGTTTTAAACCTTCTGTGGGAAAGGACTGAAAGAGGAAGTACACCACCAAATAATATTACAGAGCCAGATGATAAGACTACAGGGTACAGGCAAAACAACTACACATTTCCTTTCTTAGGTTTTATCTTAGATGCTGTGGAGTGTTTCTACAATTGATTAACATGTAAAGATTTACCAGAAAAGAGAGATGGATCACACAAAGAACTCCTTAACTACCTTGATACAGTTTATAAGAATATGATCAGAAAAATCATGCCAAGACTGTGCAGAGCAGAGTTTGGGGAGAGAAAGACTACACAGTATCTGCTGAAGAGCCTGTGGATAGAGATAAAAAGACAAAGAAAAATATGGCTCTCAAATGTCTTTGTATTAAAACTATACATACTCTTTATCTGTCTGCTACTGTCTATTTCTAACTTCCATTTTTGTTTCCTACAACTTCATAGTCCTATTTTATGCCCACTCCCTTAAGCATTCTTTGATTCTCTACATTACTCTTCCATAGATTAAAATGTAATAATGATATTTATTATAAAAGCACTTAAAATGTTCACTTTTCTTTACAACATTAGTTTTCATAATAAGTAGATTTACAAATTCAGTGTGGAGCAGAGTACAAGAGACAACTCCCACACATTGAATCATAGGTTAATCTCTAACTACAAGTAACAAGAAGGCAACTTTTAATAGCGTTGGACAATGCCATGCAACTCTCAATTTTGACACCCAAGGAGGACTGTAATAACTCTCACTTATCATACCATGACAATTTATTTTGGACAGAGTGTCATTGGGACATGTGACAGTGAGTCACGAGTCTGGGAGTCTTGCTCTCTTTCCTTCTCTTTCACTATCCCACTGCTTTCCAATCAATTTAAGCTTCAACAGGGGTCAGCACTGCTCCCTCCCTAGAATCTAACTCCATTGGCTGAGGCTCCAAACCAAGATGGTGATCAGGATACCAGAACTTCTGCTTTCTTTGTGCTATGTCATTATAACTCTCTTTCACACATGTACTCTTCTCCAAAATCAGCAACTTGCATTGCTCACACACACACATGGCAACAGTGTTCCAGACAGAGGCAGGAGGAGAGGGAGGACCAGACAAAGCAGGATGTAAAACACTATTTCTACTGATATTCCATTGTCATGGTTTGAGCTCAGAGGGCAACTGTGCGGTGCGGGGGAGGAGGAGAAGAAAAACAACATCACTTTAATTCAAACACTAACAAAAACAACACTTAACAGATGGAATTCAACAGTGAGAAACATTACCACATCTTAAAAAAACCTTGCCCCCACCCCTCCCTTCTTTCTGGGCTCTGTTTTGTTCCCAATCTCTCTAAATCCTCGCCCCTCAACAGTGCAGAGGGCAGACAATAGGGGGCTGCTGTCATTCCTGCAGGTCTTTCCTCCTGGTTGGGGGGCACTCCTTGCATTCTTCCCCTGCTCCAGCATGGGGTTCCTCTCACAGGAGACAGTCCTCCATGAACTTTCTCTGGTGTGAGTCCCCCCCACAGGATGCAGCCTTTCCCACGATGATCCAGCGTGGGACACCCCTGCATGTTGCAGCCCTCCCAGCACTGAACTACAACAGGGGAGGCTGCTTCTCCCCGCAGAGTCCTGGCCTTCTTTGGGTGCAGCTGCCTGCTCCAGCAGGAGCTGCTCCACAGACACAGGCAGATTTCTGCTCCACCATGGACCTCCATGAGTGGCAGGGGGGCAGCTTTGCCGTCTCACCACATGGCTGCAGGGGGTCTCTGCACCAGCACACCTCCCCCCATTTCCTCCTTCTTTCTTCCACTGACCTTGGTGTTTGCACAGGTGTCCTTCTCACAACTTCTCCTCACAAGTCCCCCCTCCTCCTCACAGGTTCCCGCTCTTAAAAACATTGTTCATTATTGCAGAGGCACAGCCACCATCGCTAGTTAGTTCAGCCCTGGCCAGCTCAGCCAGGTCTGACCTGGAGCCGGGGGGGAGCTTTCGAAAAGCTTCTCACAAGGGGCACACCCCTTCCCCCGCTACCAAAACCCCGCCACGCAAACCCAGCACATCCAGAAAAGGTAGCATTTAGCTATTTCGGCACTGCACGTCCAGTTACGCCGTGCTGCTATGATTAAACATCTCCCGGTCCATTTTATTCCACGGCGGTAGAACTGAACTAACTGCCTTTGCAGCGGTTCTCCGCGGCCCCCGCCGGGGGTCGGTGCCAGCCGGCCCTTCCCGCGCAGCACCTCGGGCCGCTCCCGGGGCCAGGGGAGGGGGAGCACGGTTGCCAGAGCCTCCGGACTACCGGCCTGACTCAGCTTGGCGTTGCCAAAGGGCAACGGAGAAAGAAAGCGCTGTTTGTCACTGGTAGGGCTGTTGAACCTGAGCTGCTAAGGCACGCTGCTCAGAAACAGCTGGTATTATAGAAGTAGTAGTTGAAGAAAAGGAGCTGTTGGGGCTATGTCTTCTAAGGCGGCCGTTGTTTGGAGACTGGCTGGACATTGGTCTGCTTGTAGGAGGTGAGTGCCTTTGCATCACTTCTTTATATATATATATTTGTGTGTATATATAAAATATGTATATGCTATATAAGTAATACTCTACCTTTTTGCACCTTCTGTGTGCATTCATCAAGATTCCACACTATCACACATTCACAAGAAGCAGAGCAGACAAGAAGTGGATTGGTTTTACTCCCAAATGACACTGCAGAAATTGAGTAATGATGTCCTGACAAACATAATGGCTGACAAATATAGATAAAGAAGAGTTAAATGGGTCACTTCAAACTAAGATTATGAGCAATACAAAATTGCAAATGGATAATGTACAGGCAATTAACAAAACAGTAATTTTTCTTTATTGTTTCAAAATCACTTAACTACAATGTAGCTGTACTGGGTCTGGCTGGGACTCTCTTCATGGTAGTTTTCATGCTGCAGTGCTTTGCATTTTGTGACAAAAACAGGGTTGATAAAACACCAATATTTTGGCTGTTGCCACACACTGCTTGCACAGCATCAAGGGTTCCTCTTTTTCTCACTCTGCCCTGGCCCCCTGAGCCCCAGCAAAAAGGCTGGGAGTGCACAAGAGACTGGGAGGGGACACATTCTGAACAGCTCACCCAAACTGGTAAAGGGATATTCCCTATCATACGATGTTGTGCTCAGCAGTAAAACTGAGATATTGGATGAATAAGGTGTTGAGGAGCTGGACGGCTGTCTTCTAAGGTGGCCGTTGCTCAAAGCCTGGATGGGGATTGGGTTGCTTGTAGAAGGTGGTGTTTCTTTTTTTCTCTTTCCTTCACTTGTTAAATTACCTTTATCTTTAGCTGTGACTTCTCACTTTTGCCCATCTGATTCTCTCCCCCATCCTGCTGGTTAGGAATAACAGGAGACCAGGTGGTGGTTTAGGTGCCAGCCAGAGTCAACCCACCACAAAAGTTCATATTATTCTCATCACAGTAACAAAGCTCATAACAAATGCTAGTAGCTTCCCAGCATTAAAATGAAACCTGACGCTCCTACACTGCCCTCAACTATATCTCCCTTTTAAGTCTCCTTCTGAAACAGCAGCCTACAAAGAGATATATTCTGGTTTTACCTGAGCAGTCTCTGTATTCCAGATGCATAGCTCATTTTGATTCAAAGGGAAAGCGCAGTGGTGGTTGACGTGCAGAAATAGACTCCACAATCTGATAGATTGTAAAGTAGGTATGTTTATTCAGCGCTGAGGTACACAGGGGATAACTCCTCCTATTGTGTACCCAACGTATGGTGCTGTTACCTAAGATTTATAGAGCAAATGATTACATATTCATAATATTTCGCAATACGCCTATACATATGCAACACCTATCCCCGCTTCGTATTATAATTAGCATTTCCATAATCTCCTCCTAGTTGAGTCTGCGCAGTGTCTTCTGGTGGTGGTCGTGGGGGTCTTTGGGGATGAAGTCAAGCTCCTCTTCCTCCTGTCCGCTCTGTGACCCCAGGTTTTGCGCATACTCAGTTTCTTACTGGCTGTTGTCCAAACCGTGGGTCTAGTTCCAACCGGCTTGGTACTGATAAAGCCTAGAGAGCTCACCGTGTTTTATAAACTGTCTGCTCACTAAGCAGACAGTTAACCGTTATCTAAACTATTTCCCTTGAACTATTTTCTTTTGTTATCCCCTTCTTGCTATTCTCATGTTAACCCTTACATCCCCTGTTCCTATCTTGGCCCTGTATCAGTGGTGACTACACGCCGGCTGAACAAGGGACTCCAGCAGTTTGGATTTAAACAAGTGTTTCTCACGGACAACGCCAGAATCGCCACCTCCTCCAGCAGAACAGCCTCCGTCACTTTCCATCCTACAGCTGAAAATAGGCTCCGTGGCAGAGCATTACAGGGGGCCAGGCCCGCTTCGCCGGCTGCGCCCTCACCGCCTGCCAGCGTGGGGGTCCCCGGGCCCCACAGCCTCCGCGGGGGTACCCTGAGGCGGGGGGCCGGAGGGGCTCGCCCGGCCCCGCGTCCCCAGGACGAGACAGCGCAACCCCCACCCTACCTGGCCCCACAACCTGGCCCAGGCCCCGGCCCATAACCTGGGTGACCGAGTGGAACAATCCTCCCTGGCGCGTCCCTGCGCCGGGGCAACGGCTGAGCGCGAGCCCAACAGCTCCGCCGCGCCCCACACGGGCGCCCGGCCCTTCTTGAGCAAAAAGACTTAAGCAAAAAACATCTTTGACTTTATAGAGATTAGGACATTGTTCATGGGAAATTATTGCAAAAAACAAACCTCTTGCTCTCACCGAGTTTGTGGTTGATGCCCAGCTGGTGGAAGCAGTCACCACAACAGCAGGCAGGGCTGTCAGTCAGAGGGACTCATCAAGCAGGAGAAACAAGCTGATGAAAATCTCACAGAGTCCAGCAAGGGTAAGTGTGGAGTCCTGCATCTGGCACAGAGTAACCCCAGGCAAGATGACAGGTAGAGGATGGCTGTCTAGGAATCAGCTCCACAACAGAGGATCCAGAGATCCTGCTGGACAAGTTGAATATGAGCCACCCACTGCGCCCTTGCAGCAAAGGCAGCCAACCATCCTGGGCTGCATTAGTAACAGAGAGTAGCCAAGAGGTCCCGGGAGTGATCCTTCCGCTCTATTTGGCACTTGTAATACTGAATCTGCAATACTGTAGCCAGTTTGGGGGTTGTAGGTACAGGAAGGCTAATGACATACTGAAGCAAGACCAGTAGAGGGCAACCGAGATGGTCGGGAGCTGCAAAAGGTGACTTACTGGGGGCGGCTGAGGGAACTGGGCCTCTTCAGCCTGGAGAAAAGGCAGCTGAGACCTCATCGTTGGTTACAACTATGTAATTTGAATATACAGGTAAGATGGAGCTATACTCTTCTCAGAGGTGCTCAGTGATATGACAAGCTGGAACCTGTGAAAATCCAATTAGATGTCAGGTCCTTTTTTTTAAAATACCACGAGGGTGGTTGAGTATTAAAAAGAGTTTCTGAAAAGGGGCTGTGGATGTCTATCCCTGGAGTTGTCTAAGAGCCAGATGGACATGGCCCTGAGCAACCTGAATAAATTAGACCTGTTTTGAACAGGAAGTTGGACTGGAGGAGTCTGGAGGTCCCTTGCAATGCACGTTACAATTCTGTGGTAAAGGTTTTGATCCTCACCAACTTAAACCACTTTGAGGCAGATCAGTCTGTGGACTCAGTATCTACCTCAACTGCATTTCAAACAGATACTTGCTACAGGAATGTCTTTCTTGTGTGTGTGTGTCTGTAATTAACACTACAAGCATTTTTGCCCTATAGGAACATCTAATATATATTACCGTTGACAAAACAATCTCCTTGTGTTAGTTTTCCCTGGAGAAAGTACCAGTTCAAATGCTTTTTCATGTGTCCTTGTGAATTTGGATAAAGCCACTGTAGTAAGCACCAGCTGCATAGAGGTAACTCAATGACACATAGTATTTCTTTTCTAAACTGTGACTCATGGCTGAGAATACTAGAGAAAAATTTTACTATAATACGCTGATGACAATTTTAATGAGTGCTACAATCATGAATTTGTTATGGCAGTTTAGTCATCAGTAAACAAATGCTGATACAGAAAAAAAGGGACTGTTCAGACAGGCAGACAACCCCTAGGAGTAGAGAACTTGTTCCAAAACATGTGTCTTTGTAACTGTTTCTAGGCAGTTTAGTACATTTTTTCTAGTTCTTTTTACTGTAGTTTATTTTCATCTTTCAATGTAGCTGCAATACTTTCAACAACCTCCTGCCCGTAACAACTAGGGAACTAGTAGAAATCCAAGGAAGTATCAGAGATCTTGAACCGATTTCTGGGCTGATCAAACAGGAGTCAGGAGATCAACTCCCTTGCTGCAGCTGGACCCTGAGCCAGTAAAGTCAATCTGATGGAGACCTGTCAGTCCAGAGAGGTGTGGAGCCCCACTGCTTTTTGCCCTTCCAGTAGGTGCTGTTGCCTCATAGTGGCTGACACGTCACTCCTCCAGTAACATAACAATAAGCAGATTTCTGCCCTGTTGGGAGGTGACAGTTGCATGGGAACTCTAGTGACATGTAGGCGCATAGTGAGAAATTTATACCACACCACACCCCCATGAAACATACCTCCTGGCGATGTCCTGTTTCTGTGCAGCACAATGCTAAAACACTGTGGATCCAGCATGTTCCCACAGCTTGGGTATCCACCCACTTCAAAAGGAACCGACAGCCCTGTGAAAAAAAGACTGCTACAATTTTAGGGCATTTTAGGGAAATAGCAGTTGCTTATCATATCATGCTTTTGTGTCCAATAGTATATTTCTATTGGTCTCAATATCCAATCATTGTAAGAACAACTTTAAATAATGAGATTTACCACTTTTAATAACATGCCTTAAGTGGCTGATAAGCCTATTGATAAGTTTGAAATTAATTTTAATAAAGCTCAAATTTAAGAGAATCCACATTTGGTGGATTCAGCCTGTTTGAGGTAGGAATGAACAGGTTACATGGGTTTTATGAAATTAGAGAGTTTTGAAGACAGAACATTACCTCATTCTGTTAATACAGGACCCAACCTGTGTACTTATACAGATTCTCTCCAATCTCTCAGTATACTATAACACTCCATACAGATTTTCTTTCAATTTCAGTCCTTTGTTTGGTCTTGCTTACAGATTTAAAGAGCTCAGTCAAGTCAAGATAACTGTTGAAATCAATGGGTATTCAAAAGTGTTTTTTCTCTTCACAGTTCTTCTGCTCTGTGATCTTAGCTGAAGTTTATGCTGATAGCCACATAAACTGTCACTAACTGTTGAAGGGCAACCTCTCCTCCAGTAAGTGTATTACATCCGATTTCAGTGCAGACAAAACTGGATTCCTCTAACTGTAAGTTTTCTTTGTGAAAAAATACTTACCGTGTTGCAGAAAAATCTACATATTCAGTCAGTGTCTCACCATCCTCCTCCAATGTGTCATCCTTAACTCAGAATTTACAACTAAGCAAATCTAACTTTACTGGACTTCCAAGTGTCTGGTGCCCAAAAGCCATGCTCCCCCCGAACACACCCCCCCTCTGACAGCACAGCAAAGCCTTCCCCGGCCACAGCCCCGGGAGCTCCCGCAAGCCAGGGCGACCAACTGCCCTGCCGGGACCCGGGACCAGCGCAGGCCAGGCTCTGCCCGTAGGCACCCTGACCCTCACGAGCAGCCAGCGGGACCCGCCGCGGGCCGGTGGGTGCCCTTCCCGTCGGGACCCCACGCCAGGCCGAAGGCCCGGGGGCTGACGCGAGCGGGCGGGGTGTGGGGGCTGTTCCCGCCTTGCCGTGGCTACGGCCCCGCCCCCGCCGCCAACTCTCGCGATAGCAGGGGGCGAGGCTGGCTCCCCGCCCCGCCCCGCTCCGGGGGAGGGCCCGGGCACGGGGGGGTCTGGTGATGGCGGCGCGGAGGCGGCCGCGGATCCCGGGGCGCGTAGGGGAGCGGCGCCGCGTCCTGCCCTGCCCTGCCCTGCCCTGCCCTGCCCTGCCCTGCCCTGCCCTGCCCTGCCCTGCCCTGCCCTGCCCTGCCCGCCCTCCTGGGCCGCGGCGCTGCCCCGGGGCCCGCCCGGGCCCGCCTCAGCCCGCCCTGGGGAGGAGGGGCTTTGCCCGCGGCGCCCCCGCCGCGCTGCGCTGCCGCACGTCCGCGAAGCCTCCAGCTCTGCTTCGCCTCGGCCGTGTGGCCTCGCTGCTGCCGGAGCCCCCTGGCAGGTCGGAGGTGAGCCGCGCCGCGGCCCTCGCTCGGCGGGGTGACGGCGGGGCCGCTGCCGTGACCGTCGGGGGCCGCCTGCTGTGCCGGCAGCGGGGCCCGGGGCGGGCGGCGGCGGCGCTCCGCGCCCCTCGGGGCCGGCCGGTGCCTCCAGCGGCTCTCCCGCCCACGGGCGGGAAGGCAGGCAGGGAGGGAGTTCCTGGGGGCGGCAGAGGCGGTCCTGGCTCTGTCCAAGGTCTCCTGAAACTGCTGCTCCTTCCAAGCGCTGTTCCAGCGCCACGACGCTTTCGTTTGTCCCGAGGTAACTTAATTTATTCTGCTCAGATGTGGAGCTCCTCCTGTTCCTCCGCTCGGGGATTTCATCACCTCTTCGATTTTAAAAGTGGCAGAGAGTCAGTTCCCCGATACAGGGAGACAAACGGCAGAAGATTTATTTTTTTTTTTCTGTCGCTGTTGAGGGTGTTTTGTCAGTCTGGCAGGTTCTGCCAATGCTGTACTTTCTTCTTTTATGCTGTCTTCGCAGAATTGTGGCCTTGCAGCATAGAGGCCTCTGGGGCATAAAACTTGGACCTACAGAAACATTTGTACGTTTTTTCCCTAGATCTGTTTAACTGTCAAACCTCTTAAGATTTAAGTAGCATCTCAGTGGAAGTAAAGCAGTTTGATGCTAATGAGGTACAAAGCAACTTACTGGTAGCTTTCATGTTTAAGGTAATTGTAGTGTCCCTGTGGAAGAAATGAGGGGATGAAAATCCTCATCTGAAACATGGAAGTGTGTATGCTTGTGGGTCCGGTGCTTGACTGAGATTTGCACATCACACTCGGTTAGCTGTATGCTTTGGAAGCCTTCAGCAAGGTTCGGAGCTGACTTCTTTGTACGCACACACTTAGTGCAGCTGTTCAAAGGACAGGAGTGCTGCAGGCACGCTCGGGCTGCCTGCCTGGGTGCGTGCAACAAAGAGGGAAAGGGTTTAAGAGCCTTTGTGTTGCAGCAGTCCTTTGAATCTCCCCCTTGCCCGGGTAACTTCAGCCTTCTGTTTTGTAAGCAAGTGCTGTGAAGAGTTGAGCGTTTTTATGGTAGGAAAATCTTCAGGAAAGTAAACGCATTTTTTTTCAGGGAAAATATGCCAAGTTTAGTCCTAGAAACAATCCACACAACGGAATCATAAATTAATGTATTATATCACTAGATAGTTTGGTTTTATGTCCAAGTCCATTCCCAGTGCAAGTCAGAGTACATACTGCTTCATGCATACACCCAGATTTGCACATTTACTGTCTTCTGAAGTTAAGGTGAAAGGATGGGAAAACAAATAGGGTGCCCTAAATACCTGACACAAAGTTAATCTTCAAGTAGGCAAAAGCCTTCTTTTTCAGCTCTGGTTTTTTGTTTTTTTTTTTTTTAAACTGAAGCTAAAATCATCATTGGGTTTCATCTCTTCTGGGTATCTGTCAAATCTGGCATGTATGCAGGTAGAATGAAACTAGTCTCTCTGTCAGTTCTGGATGAAAGAACATCTAATTGATTAATTTCTGTTTAATTTCTTTAAGACATTCAAGCCATTTTAATCCTCCAGAGCTCTGAATCTTAGCAATGGTTTTTGTTACTGTTAAAGAAGAAGAAAACTTAATGAATGTGCTTAATTGAAGTTGCTTAATTTTGTATGGACTAGAGGGGGTTTATAAAAATTACCAATTAAAAAGTCGATTCCTTCCAAGAATGGAATATACTAAAATTTGAATTATGTTTTGTATTCACAAGGTAGTGCACGGGACACAGGAAGAGTCTGAACATAACTTAAGACCATGGCAGCACGCTGGAGAATCCTGATAATATTTGTGGCAGCTCAAGTACTATTTGTGGTAAATAGCTTTGAGGAAGAGGATGTACCTGAAGAATGGATTCTTCTTCTTGTTGTTCAAGGCCAGATTGGAGCAGGAAACTACAGCTATTTGAGACTAAATCACGTGGGAAAAATAGTACTTCAGATGCGGAGTTTAAAAGGTGATGCGGACTTGTACGTATCCGGTATGACGCTTCACCCCAGCTTTGACGAGTACGAGCTACAGTCCGTAACCTGCGGCCAAGACGTTGTCCACGTACCCGCGCACTTCCGCCGCCCGGTGGGAATTGGGATTTACGGTCACCCCTCTCACCGGGAGAGTGAGTTCGAAATGAAAGTATACTACGATCGAACAGTTGTACAGTACCCGTTTGGTGAGGCTTCTTACAACCCCGAGGAGATGGAGGCAAACCAGAAATACTCCCAGTCTACAGAAGATGAATCTCAGGATGAGTCGTCTGTTTTCTGGACTGTACTTATTCCATTCTTGAAACTAATACTTGAAATTCTTTTACACTTCAGCCTGTGAAATTAAACGTGAATGACTTGCTGTAATATTTAATACTCTTTGTTATGTTTCCTGAAGAGGGATTCAGGTTATTTTTCCTAAACCAGAAAGGAAGTGGGGGGAAAAGCCATATTTAATTTTATATTGTAAATCCTCCACTACATGTAAAATGAGCAGCAAGCACAGTATTTGCAGTGTTCTTCAGAGGTCGGGGCTTAAAAGTGAATGTACAGTTGGGATCCTGTTAAATTCATTTTAAACAGGTGCATAGGAAGATCAACTCTGATTCAGTATTTTCTATTGTTTTTTATAAAGAAAAGTGAGTTAAACAGCTACGCTTCAGTGCCCCCTCTCAATTTAGAGCATATTTAAAAACAAAATCTGCTTCTTTTCTGAGCAAGTATCTCCGGTAAAGCAAATTAGCAATGGTTTTGGAGCATATTCAAGTTGAGGAGCCTAGGGTGAAGGAAGGAAAAACCAATCAGTCAGCTAAGGCAATAGATGATCTATATTTTGACTGTGCTCTACAGTATGTCAGCCATCTGTCAAGCAGAGGTCTGTCCAGTCACTCATCACCTCTGCAAATCCATGACCTGAATCAAATGCATGTTACTCCTTCCCTGTTACTGCAGGCAGAGTAAGCCTTCAGCTGTTGTTGTCAACATGACATTTTCATTCCGTGTTAAAAGCAATGCATTTTATAGTATCTTGAACTTGAGAGGTGCTTTTTTTACACCTCCCTTTATAGCTTTTTGTGATTTTTCTTTTTTTTTTTTTTAGTACATCTTTATGAATAAGTCATTAGCTTGCAAAGAAACTTTCTGCTGAGAGGAATTTGCAGTATATTGTAAGAACAACAGGTCATGCCTACTCTTCCTTCAAAGTTAGTTTTTCCAGTATTTTTTGGTTTGGTTGTCTTTCAAAATAACCAGTTGCTATGCAAATAGTGTATATTTAAATTGCTCTCTAATTTTCTTTTCACAGAGCATACTGATGAGTGCACTGAACTAAACAAGTACATTACTATAATTTTATACAAATGGTGCATGTAAAATTTATATTTCATTACTAAAAGCCTTCTCTTTTTGAGTGTGAATTTGACTTGGCTGTCTCTATCTGGACACCTGACAGGACAGTAGTGACTTGTATCACAAAAAAATCATTATATAGCCAAAATTAAAAGTTTATTTGGTAAAAAGAGAAAAAAAAAAAAAAAAGTGGTATTGTTCCTCTGAAAATGGTTGGTTAAATAGCACCAAAGTATCACTTTAATTTGTGCAGTTAAGTTTTGGACAGCAAGTGTTTTGGGGTTTTTAGCCCTCCTTGCTGTTTTTCCCCCTTCTTCCTCCTCTTCTGGGTACGGGAGGGTCTTTCTGACAACAATCACAAATCCAGCGACCTAAGAAAAGAAAGTTATCAATTATTGGGAAACTAACTTTGCTACTCACTCATCTAGTTACGCACCTTTCACCATTTTAATAGGTGCTCATCTATTTGCAGTACTTCCTTAAATGTAAAGAACCAGTGCTTTTCTTTAAAAAGTAAGCATCTTTTCTAAAAGGTACAGAAAGCAGTGTGTAAAATTCACCCTCGCTTGCAGACTCCTGATGCGTAACAGCTGGCGACACTAATCTTTATGGACCTCAGGAAGTGCCAGCACTGCTAAGGGAGGTGGTTATGACAAAGGATGCTTGAATTTGCAAGCTATATTTTCACGTGAATAACCACAGTTTTGAGGTTATGGGCAGTTCCTTGGAGCAGAAATGAACAGCAGTTGGGGAATGCTGATCTTCCATCACAGGTGTGGGGTCCCGTTCCCCAAACCAGTGTCTGTTACTGCGGTGCGGTCAGGGAGCACAGATTAAACTGCTGGCAGGGGTTCCATCACCAGACCTTGTACTAAAACTCATTTGCTGAGGGAACAATGAAGGGTTGAGCAAAGAGCAGAAGCATTTAACTGTTTATATTACAACAGCTGGAATCATAAAGGCTACTTTGGTAATTTTATAGTTTTGTAGGCATATAATCTATTTTGTTTAGATTCTGTCCTTAGGTCAGCCTGAAAATTAAATCTGCCACAGAACCTATACTAAAGTGACAGCGAGTGCCAGTGCTTCCCAAAACAGGAATGCAGGGTGCATGGAAAGTACTGTAGTTACAGGGAATACTGTCACTGCAGAACGTGCAGCCACTGAAACCTTTCATGAACTCAGTTAGCATGGATTTAGTTATTACATGAAAAGCAACAGTACTACCAGTCATCTTCTTTACACTGCCTTGAGTTGGTCAGGTGATACGAGCGACCAGGTAATTTAAAAGTACAGGCTGCCTGACATCTAGGTACTTCACTTCCAGCTTTGATGTTTAAGAAAAAAATGGGGAGGGGTTTAAAAAGGTGTTTACAAATATTAAATTGAGCATACTTTTTAATTTAGAAACTGAAGTAATAGCACAAACACTTTATTAATGTGAAAGCTATACTCCAGCAATATGCAGCAATACAGCCTCTTTACAGCTTTCTTTTATGAAAAGAGGTATTCTCGGTATTCTGTGGATGTGGAAAAGAAAACCCACCTAGTTCTGAGTGAGTCTGTTTGGGTTCTGTTGTAAAAGCCAATTGTATTTCCTATCCAGGAATTGCCAGGTTAAACTGTGCACAAGCTTTATTTCTGTATATTTGGTTATTAAAAAAATAGGGTCCTACAGTGTGAATGCTTTCCTACTTATTTCTTATTCCTACCCTTCACACTTGTTTTAAACTGTTCTTTCAAAAGCAACACCTGTATTAATTCTGACAGAGAAAGCCTGGGATTCGGAGGAGGTGGGAAGGGAACAATTAACTCTATTACCTGAAGGGATAGCATCAAGCCCCACACAAAACGTGTGATAACCACGGTCACATACATCACAGAACATCATTTCTTCTTCATGATGAGGCTGCCCGCATATAATGCATGTTTTACACTCCATACATTGCCAAGGATATGTCTTAATCATAGCAACAAGCTCCGGGGTCATATCAAGGCAAGAAGGGTGGCCTAGATTAAAACCAATATTATTAACTCTTATGTCTGAAATGAAATTTCAAGTTAGTTAGACTGTTTGCTTCTACAGAAGCTGAGGCTTCACTTGCCTCCCAGTGAGATCCCACAGTGCACTGCATGTGCCAGTACACGTAACATTAACTAGAGATGGACTCTTAACGAAGGACAGAAAAGGCAACCAAACTGTTGGTACACAAGCGTAGTACACTAAATATTTCCACAAAAAGATCCGTCAGACAAACTCCCTTAGGAGTCCACTTAGTGTATGCAGATACTTACCACTGTTGTCACACTGGGAGCAATGTATAAGAGCTTCAGCTTTTCCTTTCTTGTTGGACTCCTTACCCTTCAGACAAATTCCACATATAGCATTTGGAATGACCTTTGGCTGGAAGGGTAGAAGAGGGCTATAAATTCATTCCAGAAGAATTTACAGGTTTAAAAGGAAATGTCATATATCTCCTTAACTCTTAAAATTAATGAACTATCTGTTATGATGTGTGAACCTTAAAACATATGACAGTAACTTACAAGAAGTGGTATTGAAAAAAAACATAGATTAACTACATAAAATTTTGCATTTGGCACATATAGTGAGTAACATGTAAATCAAATTGGAGCAAAATCACATATTTGCTTCTACCCATCAATTCATCAGCTAACATTCCCCACAATGTATATTAAATGTGACATGGCATTGAAAGTTTCGGTATTTTTTTCCAATATAGAATGCTTTATGAATCTCCACGCAGATTTCCTGTTTATGTAAGAAATTAAATACAATTTTCCATTTGCATGACACTTGTCCCTAAACATAGAAAATTAGTTACAAAAGCAATAAACTTGTTTTTTGTATCTTTAGATTCAAAGTATCTGGTTATCTACACCGTACATGGCTATCTGTTTTACCACTACTTCCTGTATCCAGTCATGATCGCTGTAAGAAATACACACCCTTGCATTTAACTAGTTTTACATTCATCATCTTTTTAAGTGATCATCTGGAGTGTATTTGGGTCCATGAGATCCATTTAAAAGGCAATAAAGAAATAGCAGTCTGTCACAGTGAGTAACATTTGTGTATGTATTCTGTGTCCCGCCCAACCCAAGAGACACACCAACGCAGTTTTATCCCAGCGAGGACCAAGGCAGAAGTAAGGCACTAGGACTTTCAGAAATATTTCAGTGGTTACATTGTTGAGCTTTGACCACTGCATAATGAAACTAGCGAGAAAGGTGGTTTGAAATTAATATAGTACTCACTGATGTTAAATTGACCAGTGACAGATTTTTTAAAAAAAAAATATTGCTGCGAAGATGCAGCTAGTAGGTGGAGTTCAAGGGATATCCTGTTTTCTAAGGGACTCTATGGCTTGGTCAGGGAGCAAGAGGCCCAGTCAACTACCAACCCGTGTGGGGAGAAGAATAAAGTTTAATTTAAAAATAAATAAGAAAATTGAAAACAGAAATATATATTATATATATGTATGTATATTTACTGAGAGCTTTTGCAATACAACTTAAGTCTGTCTATTTCCCCAGACAGTTTTTTCTCGCATCTAGCAAGGTAATGAATACCTTGACTCATTCTTAGGGTACTCAGGATGTATTAAGTTTTCTTGAGTTTTCAATCTGCTTTTTAAGTTAAAACATGGCTACAGTCTGCTTCAAATTACCTGGTCTAAAGAGGTCTATTTAAGAAAACAAGACACCATACCAGATGTTTATAGGTAATTTCCTTCAAAAGATGACAGAGGCATTCATACAGACTTTTTTTTTTTCTTATTTATTTTAAAAAAGCAGAGTCAACCTGTTTTATACATAAATATAATAAAACAATAAAAGAAGTCTAACATTCACAAACATCTCTACAAAATAATAAATATAATGGAAGCAAAACCACACATAAAACTCTTTTACTGTTAACTATACTATGTGTCCTACATGTATACCTTTATACCCTGCTCCTCCCAACAAAAGTGGCACATGCTTAAACCTCGGCA